CCGTAGGGGCTCCTCCCACACTCTGATCTCAGAGGCGATGGTCTCTCAGTCCCTCCCTCCCGGAAGCCACAGTGGGGCAGGTCTTTTCTGGAAAGAAACGAGGTGACATGGGGGGCGTTGAGCGCCCACGGCCCAGGGGCCGCTTCTGACTGAGGCCAGGCTCACCTGGAAGGAAAGTGAACGTCCCGGAGACAGAAGGGCTTGGAGCCAGGACCCACCTCCTGGGACAGAGGAGACCTGGGCGGCGTGGCGGGCAGGCGCAGGTGCCCCGCCGGTACTGGAGAAGGCAGGGGCTGCAGTGGGGCTGACACTGGGACTGAGCCCGCTCCTGGTGGCTGCGTCGTAAGGCACTGGGGCTCTCCTGCTTGGCGCGGGGGACGGAGGCGAGAGCAGGTCAGGGAATCAGTCCGTGTGTCATCTGGTAAAGGGCTTGTTTCACATCTAACCTGCTTTCTGGGGGCTCACAATCTAAAGGGAATCTTTGCGAGATCAGGTTTTCATTCATAACCTAAGGAAAAGGGAAATCCAAAAAGACAAAAATTTGAAAGAAAATCTGAAAGCGAAAAAAGCAAGCAAGTGCCCACCTCCTAGCTAATCTCAGTGGCACCTGGAGCGACTGTGTCACCTCTTGGAGCCGCCGCCCACCCCGCATCCCTGTGCCCCTGCACAGCCGGGTCACCTGCCCTGCTGCCAGCTCTCTTCTCTGTTTAACTTCAAATTCATGGGTTTTTAAGGCCCCTGACCACCACCTGGAGGCTGGATTTCTCAGTGCCACGGAAGAGGGCTCACAGGAAGGGATAGGACTGTCCTCGGGGAGGCCAGCAAGAGGGTGGCTCCTGCTGGGGGACAAGCCAGGGGGTGCTCGTGGGCACCCAGACTTCCCCCAGATGACGTCTTCCCGGTCATGGTTCACGGACAGCTCCCCTTGGTTCCTGGAATCTCTCGCCAAGGAGCAGAGCCCTGTTCGAGGCAGAGCCATGCAGCGGCCGAGCGTCCCAGCCCCCGAAATGCCACGTCCCCAGGCACATGACCGCGCTGTGGCCCGTTCACCCCGTGCACTTGCGTGTTGGATGCGCTGTGGGCGGCTGTGAGGCCGTAACCACAGATCAGCTCTGTGGGCGTCACTTAGCAGCAGACGCACTGAGAGAGGCCCAGTGCCTTGTGACAAGTGACATGGGATGGCCCAGGTGGCGGGAGGCCCTCGTCCCCTGACTCTGTTTCCTTCTCTCAGGGAGGACGAGACAGCCGGTCCGGATCCCCCATGGCGAGACGCTGAAGCTCGGCCTCCCTCTCCCAGAATCCTGTCCTCGGCTTCTTAATACAACTGCCTGAGATGTTAACCACGTTTGCATCAGTCCCTAGTGTAGCAGATGACCCCTAACACCTGCAGAAAACGGCTCCCCTGTCCCCTTACGGCTGAAGATTAGTGTCCTCGGGAACACCCCTGGCCATGCCCCTGAGCATCCAGGGCCCCCACCATCACCCCAGCCCTGGGACTGGCTCCGGGCGCAGCCGCGGGGACCCTGCCCGGGCCGCCCCGGGCGGGATGCAGAGGCCGAGCAGCTCCGAGCTTCCTTTGGTTTCTTTTCCTGCCTCCTCTCACCTCCGCAAGGACTTAATTTTCCTAACAGGATCGGGCATTGGAGCGGCTTCGCGGCGGGAGCTTTGGTATGTGACAGGCGGGCGGGCAGCTGGGAGAGTCCCACGTAGTGGCCAGACTCATGCGTGGCGGAGAGGGGACGTGGGCGGACTCGGACCGGGCAGCGGCCTCGATCGGGAGACAGGGTCTCCCTGGGCAGCGGGTGACAGCGGCGGGCCCTGGAGTGGCCTCTGCGAAGATGTGTTTCCTGGCCGGCCCGGCCGGAGGGGCGGGAGAGGCACGGCTCGGCGGACGCAGGAGTTTCCGGGTGGCCTCGCGGTGGCACGCGGGTCACTGCGGAGCATGAAGGGGACAGGTGGTATGCTCAGCACGGCAGTGCACGTGGCAAGTACTAACCTCCGTGGGGGATAACCGTCTCGCCCGCCTGCCCCCTTGAAGCACCCTACGAACACACTTACCTTCCCCGCATCACTGACCTGGAGCGTGGGCGCGGCCGACCAGGCGGGGCGAGGTCGGGCCCCTGGGAACCACACTCTTCTAACTCTAGCTGACACCCCCTCCCCGTGACACCCTGATCCCTGCCTTTTGATTTTGGCATCCCTCCTCTGAACCTTCCAAAGAGCCCCCGCACCGCTGTCACCCTCCCTAGAGCGAAGTCGGGGAACAGTCGACATAAAGCCCAGACGCGTCCCTCTAATCCGTTCTAACTCCCAGTGTTTAGTGTGGGTTTAACAGAATGTCTATTAATACAAAGCCCCCATGATGAGAGGGTAAGAAAAAAAAATAATAAAATTTCAGAAACAAAACCTCCAAATCGCTTGACACACACACTGCACCTTGAGCTGACCGCCGACTGATCTCAGCTCGCGGCGCCCGCCAGGCGGCAAGAGCTCTGGCGCTGGGTCTTGTGGGAAGTGTGCTCTGTTCTCAAATATCGAAATAAAATAATACACTTTTAATGATACTTGCACGGCTGTCTCACTTGGCTTTTACCCTGGTCTGCGGATCGGGGGGAAGCGGGAAGCGTGTCTCGGAGCTGCCATGCACAGCCGCCTCCTGGGCGCGGCGCAGAGCTGTCGGCCAGCACCTGCGAGGGGTGGGTTCTCAGACAGCAGTCTGAGTACCAGCGGGAGACAGGAGCCGCCACCTCAGTCCAGAACCGTGCGGAGTCCCTCCTCCGTCCTAGGAATACGGCCAACTAGGAAAAAGATGTCCTTAATTTGTGACTTCAACAGGGCAATGACTGTGAACCATTAACTTCATATATAAACTAACTCCATCGGCATTTCTGGGGCAGCCCAGTATCCTGTGATGTGTGAACAGGTCCCCTGACAATTATGATTTTCATTTCATTTCATTTCAAGCTGCCTTTAAACACTTTACAAACAAGACAAAGTGAAAATACCTCAAGGCGGGAAGACAAGACACCCTCAGACCACTCGGCCCCCCAGGGCTGAATTTAGCACAAAACTCAGCACTGTTCTAGGTGAACCCACGCTGACAAGGGGACAAGGGAGAACGTCCACCTTCAAATGCTGCGACTCGCCCAAAGCCCAAATGAGTAAATACCCAGGAGTTTTAAAATAATACAAAAACTCTTTATTATTCTTAAAGCCAGTACAGTGGCTTTTGGCATAGCTATCTATCCATCTCTAGTACAAAACTGGATTAAATAAATACCATCCAATGTATAAACAGACCATGGAACAATTTTAAAGATAAAAAAGGATTCTTCCGTAAATTGAAAAAAATTAACTTTAAAAATGTCTTTTAATGGTGACTCAAGAATGAATCACTATGTCACTTCTGAATTTATCAAGTAGAGTACAAATCTTAATACAAAAGCCTTCGTGCTGTGAAGTGTTACACGTAAAAGAGACTAAATAGCAAAGTATTTCATTGATTACTGCCTCCTGCTCCTGCCACTTGCTTTTTATCTCTTGGTGCTTTCAGGACCTAGTCACCCACGTTCTGAAACGGCCGGGGCGCCTCCCACCAGAGGCGGCAGGTGTCTGGGGAGCAGGGTGTGGCGGGGCCGTGCAGGTGGGGCCGGGCAGGAAGCTCGCATAGCCACGTGTGAGCCGGTGTATGAATGCTGCAGCTAGATTTTTAAATGCTAATTTTCATCAGAATTCGGTAAAGGTACAGAGGCCCCAGATGTGTATGGAAGCACTTTTGAAACTTTTCTATAAACGCCAAAATGCCTACATTCCATGAATAGAGACCAAGCAGCAAAGAGGGAAGTGTAGGCGCCTCAGCTGGTGCCTCTGCCTCACCGCACTTCGCAGAGCAGACATCACCAAGAGGGTAGATCAGCGGTGGGTGGCCCTGCATGAACTCTTTTGGGGCAGGGATTGGGGGTGGAGCCAGGGTAACAGTACTGACTTTGAAATAAACTTCTGAGAAAGACGATGCGAACAGCGGGCATGAGACTTCCAAAAATAACCACCAGAAAGCAGTTCTATGTATCACATACATTTCCTTAAAATCGTGTTATTTACATAACCCTGAGTGATGACTGTATAGTGTTAAACGTGTTGACCTATCTTTGTGAGTTATGAACACCCTTCTGCGAAAAGGAAAGCCGTGGAAGGGCAGAAGCCCACCTCCTTCCTGAAACCTGGTCCGGGTAACAGGCACACGTCTCCCGCACGTAAACACTGCACGTGTGAGCTCAGAAGTCAGAGGACACTGGGTATCACTGTTAAACTCGTCCGCATCTCCTTAAAAACAGTTACAAAATACTGTTCCAAAGAAATGCTGGCTAGTTAAGCGCTGAGACGGGATGACGCAGAAATGCGAGGGAACGCGGGAATGACCAGCTCGGGCGGATTTCCCACCCCGAGAGTGGCCGGCCATGTCTGACAGGCTCCCCGCCAAGCTGATGGCCACGGTGGGCACCGTGCTCGCAGGCTGTCCCCTGGAAGCGCTGTCCTTGCACCGTGGCACCTCGTGGGGCGGGGCGTCCAGCGTGTGGAAGGAGGCCTTCACTCTCCCCTACAGCCCTATCATGACAGGACCACCTCTGCACCGTGCGGCAGTGGGAGGCCGCACGCCCCCTCGGCTCCAGGGCAGCAGGGCCCTGGCCCAGCTCAGATGCCGCGAAAGGTAACTCGCACTGCCCGCTTACTGACAGCATGGCGGTGACCTCACCAAGGGAGTGGGTCAGACAGCCGTGCACTCCTAAGGTGCCGCACCCGTGCCCAGGGCACTGCTGAGTGTGGCTGACGGGGACAGTGCAGAGGACAGCAGTGACCCTGCGGCTGACTGCCATCAACACCATGTCCTGAAGCTCCTCAAGGAGGCCCTGCAAGGGGCAGCACTCACCACCTGCTCCTCATGGAGGGAAGGAAAGCATCACTGGAGCGCTCTGCGAACAGGATCTGACCTGGAAATGAACTCATGTGCCAAACTGTCTGATATAAAATATTTTAGAAGAAAAAAAGTCACATTTCCTAACTTCCACTTTTTATTTATTATTATTCCAAAGCTATGATGAAATAGTTTAAAAAATACAATTATCTATCCTCAAAACCCTGGTTATGCAGGAGGCCAGAAGCCTCCTGTCAGAAGACTGTGTTACCAACTAGTAAAACACACACATACACGCCTGCGCCCCACTCCACCGAGAGTTCAAGTGAAAGTGTGTCTTTACAAAACCTTATTTTTCAAGGAATGTTTTGCAAAGAAGCAGCTTTTATAATTAGGAAGTAAATAAAAATAATACATTAAGGTCTTGTGTTTGCCTGATAATAAATTCGGAAAACTCACAAAATGGATTATTGATAGATTTTCTTTTTCTTTAACCAAAATAAAAGCAGGCTTTAGATTCACCGGGTAAGGCCTCACATAGGCAGGCAGCGCACCAACAGTACAGCTCGCTGAGCTACGCTTTTCCACATCATCAGGAATTGAACAAACCCCTTTTAGAGACTGTCCTGAGATGACATTTAATGCTAAAACCAAAATAAATAACCTAGCAAGAACAAAATTTTTTAAATTTCAATAATTTCAACTTTGGAGATATCTGTTCACCAAAATTAATAAACATTTCTAAAATATTTTAATACAAAATTATAAAAGAAAAGTGCATTAAAAGCCAAACCTTTAAAACTCTGGCACAATTACAATTATTCTGAATACACTGACTACAGCCAGCTATACACACTGACATTCAAGGAAAGCCTCAGGATATAAGTCCAGTATCACAAGAATAAGTCAAATAAGGCTTTTTTTTCCTTAAAAAAATATACAATACACAAAGCAGTTTGAAAAAAAAAGAAATATTATTTGACAGTTTTCTGACTTAAATATCTTCACATAACAAAAGTTTTTATATCACCATCGATATTACTTATATACATACCCCAAAAGTGTGGACAACAAAAAAAACCGAGAGATGCCCCTTCAGAAAGTGACAGTGAAATGGGTTTTTCTTCAGGAATCTGAAATGAGCCCCTCTCTTAATATACAAGGTCCATACAACGTTTATAAGAAAACTGCTCTCCTCTGAAACCAGTGAGGCCGAGAGAGGAAATAAAGGCAATTATTTTCCAGAAAAAAACAAAAACAAAAACAAAACCCAACCCCAGCTCCATGTCACAACGACAAGGACCCCCATTTATGAGTAAAATGAATACAATACTGATCTCAAGTGCTCGCTGGGAGGTAAAAACTCTGCTGCGCTCTCTGTAACGGGGACTAGTGCCTATTTACAAAATATACTGTTCAGCCACACAGAGGCCCATATATCTGTATATGTACATATGTATTTATATATAGAACATATAAATAATTTCAAAGGAGAGATTCACGTGAAGTAGAGAACTTTCCGTCTTTGGAATGCTGTGGGAACGGCGCCCTCCGCCCCGCACGGGGGAGGATTTGGTTTGGGACGTGTTGAACGTGGCACCATTGATGACACTGAAGACTATTCCCTGAAATAGAAACACACCTGCTTATGCACGCCGAGAGCGCGCAGTGTTGGTGCGGGGCCTCCTCCTTGAAGCACAAGCCGGCTTCTCGGGCTGGGGGACAGGGCCACAGCCACTCTGCTCCGGGGACAGCTCCGGCTTCCTGTGTGCAGCGCTGGGCTGTGCTTCCTGCAGTGACTCAGCCCGCGAGCCCGACCGGCGACGCGTGCAGCCAGTGCGGCCTCACCCTGCGGACAGTCTGATCCCTGTCTGTGTGTCGGGCGCGCTCTGTTTCCCGGGCTCACGCCCCAGACACCGCGTTCTCGCAACTACTGATTAGACGTTTGCCGTGGAGAGAACTGGTCCAGCCGCCTCTCAAGGTATTGGCTATATTAACTCACGGTAGACTACAAGGAGTCAGTTTCTACTAATTTCAAAGTCCACAGAGAAAAAAAATGGAAAAAGCTTCCCTGTGTCCTAACATTTTTTCTGAACTTCATGCACCTACCTTAAGTTTGTGTTACGAGCTATGCTTCTTACAGCAGAGAGCATGAAGGAAACCCTACCTTGTTTTTTCCACGTTAACGTCCATCTTTGCTAACACGAAGAAAGCACACTGCAAGTGAGATCCAGCTAATTTCTCTTTAACCAGGAACACTGGCCGCGGAGGGGGTGACGCTGCTGCGGGACCTGAGTTCAGGGATCTGCCAACAAACAGGCACGACGTGCTTCCATCTTTCCCAGTTTTTCCTACTAGTCTCTGAAAGTCAGTGATTCTGTAAATAATTTTATACCTAAAAAAGCTATTGTGGTAACATTTTTAACACTTGAAGTTTCAGAACAGAAACCCCAATGCTCTGCTGCTCTCCACACTCAGCCCTGGACACATCCTGGGGCCGCTGCTGTGTCAGAACACGTTGGCCAGGGCCTGCCACTCGCTCGGGGACTCCTGCACCACCTCGTCCAGGTGGAGGGCGCGGCTCAGTGCCTCCCCTCCGTGCTCCTGCGGGCCGGCGGGCTCCTGCAAGGTCCCTGCAGTGTTGACCAAGGAAGAGTCTCAGACACTCAGCACACACAGTTCTCCACGTTTAAATAAGCACAACTTAAAAGAGACAAGAAACGTCTAAATTGATTTGCTTTCCACCCCAATGAAAAAAGACTAATTTGAGCTGCAGGTGTAATAACTCGTCGGTGATAACACCTGTTACTTGAACACAAGTGCTCAGAGCACTTGTGCCACATGCTCGCCCCACAAAGGCTGCGTTAATGTGACGTCAGTGACGAGCGACTAGTAATTAACACGACTGGTAACGACATGCATGACTCTTCTAACAGAAAGTGGAGCAGGAAGCACTGGAGTGTACATGTCAGAACAAACTTTTCTCTCCCTGAAAACTGCACAGCATGAAATGTCCCGCCGCCTGTGGCTCCCGAGGCCCCTGGGTGCCACCGCCCCCAGCACCCACACCAGCCAAAGCAAGCTCAAGACTGGGCTCTAAGAGGGGTCCCCGACGCCTGCCCGAGACACCGGGCACCACTCCGGCTCATGCCCCCTTGCACAGCTGCGCCCACCCCCGCACAGCCTTCGGGCCAGTTGCTGTCGCTCCTGTCTCCCAGAAGGCTGGTGGCGTTCCCAGGCTGTGCGGGGCAAACGGGAGGGACCCAGTGGGCGCCACCTTCAGAAGCCGCTGCTCGGCTGCCGGGGCCACCCCAGAGGCCCCCGTCCTGCCCCCAGCCCCGCCGCGGACGTGGCCGGGCGTCTCACCCGCACAGCTGTGGGCCCGCCTCATGTGCAGCTTCATGTTGCTCTTCTGAGTGAAGCCCATGACGCAGTAGTCACACTTGTAGGGCCTCTCGCCCGTGTGCTTCTTCATGTGCACCTGCAGGGCGCTCTTCTGGTTGAAGGCCTTCTCGCACAGGGTGCAGTGGAATGGCCGCTCCCCTGGGGGAAAGGCATGGTCAGTGACTCACAGGAACCAGTGAAGCTGGAGGAGGCGGCCAGGCCCCTCCCGTTGCGCCGCTCTGACTGCTGACCCCCGGGACCGCAGTGAGGCCACCCCAGGGAGAGGCGAAGTCCTGGCAGCACCCAGAAGTAATGGGAGAGCACGTGTGGTTTAAACACAATGTTTCTCGTACAGTTTGGGCAGAAGAGCAAAAGACATTAAGGACATGAGAATATCAAATCCACTTGGTTAAAGGTTTGATTCATATAGTATTTTTTTAAATGTCAATTAATTGCTTTCAAGTTCATATAGAAACTGAAAACTGAAGGAAAAGTTGCCAAGCGTGACTTCTGCTGGGAGCCTGCCCTGGAGGACACCTGCCCAGCGACACTCGCTGTGCAACCACGCCGCGGACAGCCCTCCCTGCTCTCACCCCTGCTGGGGCCCTGGTGCTAGCCCTTGCTGTCACCCACTTCCCAGCCCCTAGGGCCCAGGTCCCGTCCTGTCCCAGGGCTCAGCACAAGCCTTTCCTCCCGGCCTGGAAGGTCTTTCTCACATGCCCTGGTCGGACGTCTGGTCACGTCCCCACAAGGCCTCCTGCATCACACACCAGCACCACGAGGCTGCTCTGGGGGCACCTGTCTTCACAAGTGTCCCTCCTCCCTTCTCCCCTCCAGCGGCCACAACAAAGGAGGTCTTACTAAGACGCGCCTAAGGCAGGCAGAGTCCTAGAAGTGGCCCCCAAGGTGTCCTGCCCTCATCCCTGGGGCTGTGGCTCTGACAACGTCACGCCCCAGGAAAAGACACACCAGGTCCTAGTCAGGCAACAAGAAGGGAGCCTGTCCTGCGGGCACATGCTCAGAGCACACGGCCCGCCAAGGCAGAGGTCTCTGCAGACTAGGGGAGTGTGCAGAGTGAGAAGTGGGGAAGGCCTTGGCCACTGTAAGACAGAGCGCCCACTGGTAAGGGGGGTGGCCCCGCTGGCAGCCAGCAAGGCACCCCGGAGTGTGTGCTGGGTGGGCGTCTCCAACCCTTCATGTGCATCTATGTGATTTAAAAGGGCAAACAGTCACTGCTCTCTCTTAAAATTGTGCTTCTGAATAAACGTACTGTGAAGTGGCAGGTGGTTGTTTTTCACTCAAAAGCTACCTGCGGGCTACCTGGCAGTGCCACGAGAAGGCAGGAGCCACGGCTGGGGGGCTGCGAGGGCTGCTGCTGACAGTGCAGCTGGGGACAGTGGGGCACGGGGCAGCTCAGGGCGGAGGCAGCCAGGTGCCAGGACGGCAGAGGGGTGGGAAGACGACCAGCCAGAGGGGAGCCATGAGGTCAGGCCTACAGGCAGGCAGACCGGAGGGCCTGAGACCGGTGCGTGGCAGGGACACAGACTGGGAAGGCCTCCCAGCCTCCACCCTGAGCCCAGACAGCAGCTGGGCCTCCGAGGGCTCTGGTCTGGCTGTGACTCGAACACAGAGCATGCAGGACAGAGGCCAGCTCCACGGTCCAGAGGGATGTGACTGGGAGAAAGGGCCTGAGTCCAGGATGACCTCGTGTCCCTGGGAATGGAGGGGCCATGAGACGGCGGCCCGAACAGTCAGCGGGGACAGAGCTGAGATGGGTTGCCACCGAGGTGGGCCAAGGGACAGAGAGAGATGGGAGCTTGTTCCTTTGTTTTGTTTTTTCTCTAAGATGAACTTGAGCAGATTTAGGTGGTGACGAGAACAGTCAGTAAAGAAGAGTCTGAAGACGTGAGAGAAAGAGATGGACCCTGGAGGGCAGGGCAGGAACGGTGCTGCTGTGGTCAGGGTTCCAGGACCACAACAGGTGCTCGCCTGATAGCTTCCATTTTCTGTGCTCACCACGTAAACACTAAAAGCTTTTAATGGAAAAAGCGAGCATGATAAACTGATGAAAATTAGGAAGAAGCCGAACACGAAGACCCTGCTCCGTAAACAATGGGTTATACACTGCGGACGGGCAGCCACGTGCCGCCGCACCTTATCTCCACACCAGCTCGTGCTCTGCGTCCAAGACCCCAAGCGCCACCCCCCTCCCCGTCCTCACCTGTGTGGATGCGGCTGTGGCGCTCCAGCTGGCTCGGTTTCGCAAACGCCTTTTCACAAGTGTCACATTTAAACACTCTCGGCTTCTGAGAGCTCAAAGAAGGACCCGCCTGATGTGTCTGCATGTGCTCCTAGTGAAGATGGACAGACACGCAGGTGAAGAGCACAGCAGGAGCGGGCAGGCCCGAAACAGGATGGGAGGAGCCTCCGCAGAGACGCCAGACGGCGGGAAGACTCCCGTGGCCGCTCCCGGAGCAGAGCCAGAGGGGTGTGCGGCCCTCCTGAGGACGGTATCCACACGCGCCCCCAGGGGCTCTTCCACACGGGAGCTGTGGCTGCTTCCTCATTTATTAACACAATCAATCAGATTTCTGTCGGCGAGGACCGAGCACTGTGTACCGTGGTCATAACCCCAGCCTGCCTTACGGTCTCGCTCCAGCTATTCCAGCTCCGGCCCTGGACTCGTTCAGTCGCCCGTGTCCCTCTGACACAGCCCCTCAAACACCATCTGTGTGCGTGCGCGCGTGTGTGTGATGAGCATGTCCTTAGTTTCTGCCGCAAAGTATTTCTTTTTTAACTCCAAACTTTTTTTAATTGCAGTGCAGCTGCCTAACAGTGTTGTGTTACTTTCAGGTGCACAGCAGCGGCTCGGTTACGTACACGTTAGTGGCGGCGCCGAGGCTGGAGCCCAGCACCTCGTGCAGGACAGGCACGTGCTCTACCACTGAGCTCGACCCTCCCTCCTCTTGTCCAGGTTCTTCCCCATCACCGCTTATTACCAGACACTGAATCTAGGTCCCTGGGCTCTACAGTGGGCCCTGGTTGTTCATCTGCTTTATTCAGAGTCATGTGGGTCTGCTAATCCCAACCTCATTTATTATTCCCTCCCCGCCTCTCCCCTTTGGTAACCATAGTTTGTTTTCTAGGTCTGGGAGTCTATTTCTGGTTCTTAAGTAAGTTCATTTGTATCATTTTTTTTTTAAATTCCAAATTTCTGAAGGTTATCAAGAGAAAATAACTAGGTATTAAAATGCCAGACCGACTCTTTGAGACTGTGCACCACCCCTTCAGAGTGTTCATGGAAAAGTCATGCCTTATGTATAGTAATATGTGTAATTTTAAAAATCTTAAACTCTCTCTACCCATCTTTATTCTTTTGCCTCTTTAAAAGGGCCTCTTCTCCATCGGGCTGTAAAATCACTGCACTGTCATTTCTGTACTCTCCACTCTGAGCAAAGTAAAGCGCCAAGTGCTTTATATTCCTCAACATAACCATCAACTGCAAGTGTTAGTATCCTCATTTTTTAAGTTAGGAAACTGAAGCTGTAGATGTTACAGTTCCCGAGCAACAGCCCGGAGAGTCTAAGTGAGAGAGTCAGATTCGAGCAGGTGGGACCGGGTGGAGACCCCTCGGTGGGAAGCATCTCATCTCAGAAAACACGGCAGAAAGAGGGGAGAAGCACTGGCTAGCAGCAGGTCTGGAGAACAGAAACCAGGTTTACTGAATGATTCCTTAAAAGGCCTTGAAAAAGGAAGTCTGGGATCCGCTGTGTATTAAGTGGTCATCAGATCATGATGCTTCTGGTACCTAAGGGGGTGCAGTGAGGAGCTCTGGCCTACAGGTCAGAGGACCAGGCACACTTGCCCAGATGGGCATCTCCCTGATGGGCGGTCCTGGAAGTCACTCCACATGCCTGAACTCATTCTTTTCTCTACTGCGTGGACGCCCTCGGTGGGTCTAAGCCCTCTCCCACGTGCGCACTCAGGTGGCCCCTATCAAGGCCACCACGAGCAACCGTGGGCACATAGGCCTCTGGGCCGGCTCCCAGGGTGCAGCCTCGCCAGCCCCTCACAGAGGTCTGCTCCCCCACAGCCCTGCTAACAGGACAGGCGGGGACAGAGCTTGCAACAGCTGCCAGTCTGATGGGAGAAACGGCATCTCGGGGTCATCTCAATACATTCGCCTCGGCTGACCTTTTCCTCAAACAGATGGGCAGTCTGTGACTCACTGGGAGGACCCGACTCCCCAGGTCCCAGATCCTTCGGGGCCTCTGCTCTGGCACGGCCGGTGGGGTGCCTACCTTGAGGTGCGTGGCGCGCTTGAAGGCCTTGCTGCAGGCGGGGCACACGTGGATGCGCTCGCGGCCGTGAGCCTCCTTGCTGTGCTGTAGCAGCGTGCTGGCTGACGTGAAGCTGCGGCCGCACTCCAGGCACTGGTGCAGCCGGCCCTCCTTCTCGGGCGGGCCGCCTCCGGCCAGGCTGGCAGAGACGTCCGTGACCTGGACAGGCCAGAAATTCCGACTTTATTTGACCAGTGCGAGGACAACAGACCCCCGACACAGGAACCCCCAGCCCAGACAACTGCTGCAACCGCCCAGCTGCAGGTCCAGCTCCAGCGCTCCCGTCGTGGCCACAGCGAGCCACGTCCCCAACCACCGGGGGTCTGTTCCCTCATCTGAGAAACAATGCGGTAACACCAGCTACCTACCAGAGGTGGGTGGCAGCTACATGAGGGGACAGACACAGGTGCCGAGAGCAGCAAAGCGTGCTCAGTAAATGCTTCTCGGGGCAGGAGTTTCAGCTTAGTCACGTACAAACGACATTGCTAAAAAAAATGCTATTGCTCTGGCTGAAGATTTTTCCCAGCAAACTGGACTGTAACTAATCTTGGTATCAGAAGTATTTTTACAGCTTTTGAGTAGATTAGAGCATTTCCCTAAAACCTTGGATCTCAACCATAGTTGGTTTTCAAATCACATTCTGACGGGGTGCCGCAATACCCCAAAATGAGTAAGAAGAACAGGACGAGTTTACTACTCAGCTTTTGTAAATAACAGAGTTTTGCAGATAAAAATTTATATGTGATGAATTGGTAAAAGAAAATTATCAACAATTATAAAGAAAATTGATAGGATTTGTCAACATTTTTAGTACTTCCAGTTTATCAAACTTTTCCATAATATGAAAATACATAAAAATAAATACAGTTTGGAAAAAATACCTAAATAATGAAAGATTTCTAAAAATTGCTCTCATTAATCTGTGTAGTTTTAACAAAAAAGAATGGAACGGGAAAAAAAGCAATAAAACGGAAAACGTGAGAAGAGCGAAGACAGCACCACAGGGCAGGCACAAGTGGCACTCAGGGCTCCTGCGGTGGCAGCACTGGCCTGACCGGGCAGCCGAGCCCACGCACAGACACACGGACGAAAGCCGGGGTCACCGGCACCGCCCTTCTCCACTCACACCCTCACCAACAGCCCCAGGAACTAAAGCACATGCAGAGTCAAACATGTCGCTCACAAGGAGCAAGCGTTCAGCACACGTGTCCTTCCGCTGGAACCAGAGGACGACAGGTCTTTCTGGGTCCTGTGACTCTTGCCAGCACATCCCTGGGCTCAAGGGTGGTCCTGGGCACCCCAAGACAATGTGTTCAAGTTGTATAAAGTGAAATTTGGCTACACAGGCTCTGGCTACTCAGGCCAGACGGGAAAAATACCCAGGGTTGGTCACGTCTAATTTATTTACAAAAAAACTCCTTGCTCCATGAAAGACCAGTGAGTAATTATCTTCAAACTCACTTGCTGAACTCAGAGGTTATTTATTACCTGTACTTAACTTCCCTGAGAAGTTTTAAGTAAACAGTTTTTAGACTCATCTATATTTAAAACTATTATTTACTAAGTGTTTTGTCCCCTTCTAAAAAGGCATTTTAAGAAAAAAGACTAGTCAAGTGACAATTAGGCCACGTGTACACGTGTATGTGTGTATGAAAAAGTACAGCAGGACTTGAAAGAACCAGCAGAAGTACTACAGGAAAACCTACAGGAAGAGCTAAACGCAAGTCAACGGCCCCGTGAAATCTGATCAAGATGCCGATAAACTGAAAACTGGACTTCAGTCCTGGTACCACATCTCATTCTGACCCCACTGAAAAGCAAAGCAGGGAACGGACGAGACCCGGTACCAGTCCCCCAGCTCGGCACACCCTGTTCGCGCAGGAGACGCCGTCCTTGAAGCCCAGCCTCCCATGCTCACTCCCCAGGACCTCCCACCCCCACCCCTCAGAATCCACCGCTTCTGAAAACCACGAGACTGAATAAAGTGTGTGCTGTACCTGGTAGGCGACCTCCTCACAGGTGGCAGATGGTGGCTGCGGGGTATGGCTCACGAGGATGACCTGGGGCGAGCCTGCTCCCCCAGGGCCCGACAGAGAAGGCTCCGTCAGTAAGGCTGGGAACTGCTGCCCCTGGCAAAGGTAAAATTCGGAAGCTCTTTTATGGTGCAGTCACTTTGGAAAACAAGCTGGCAGATCCTCAAAAGTTAACCACAGTATCACTACGTGGCTGAGCAATTCCACTCGTGGGCATCTGCCCAAGAGGAATGAAAACCTAGGTCCACCTGAAGCCTTGTACACAGACGTTCACAGCAGCACCACTCACAACAGCCGAGAAGGGGCAAGCGCCCCAGGACCCGCTAACTGAGGACTGGACAGGCAGGATGTGGCTCACGTCTGTACGGTGGAACAGCACTCCCCAGTCGGACAGAATGGAGGGAGACACCAGCCAGCATGTGCCTGCCGAACAAAAGCCACCAGTCTCAAAAGACTACACGTATGACCTCATTTATGGGAAATGTCCAGACAGGCAAATCTGCAAAGACAGGGAGCAGACGAGCGGTGCCGGGGCTGGGGAGGCCAGCAGGGGAGGCTGGGGGACCTGGGAGTGACTGCTAAGTTCTGCTCTACAATCAGAACTGGTGATGGTGGTACAACTCTGGAAACAGACTACAGATCTACACTGCACATTTTAAATAAATGGGTGAACTTTACAGTATGTAACTTAAATCTCAATAAGCTTATGAAAAATATATAAGGAGTATCTGTTTAAAACGCACATCCAATCTTGCTCTACTATAGAAGAGCACTGTGTGTGCGCTCCAGCACCTTACCCACTGACGGGAATCTGGGACAGAGAGAGCGGAAGTGGTGGGGGTGGTGCAGACAGGAAGTTTAACTTAGGAACCAACTTTGGACTGGAAATGCTGAATCTATATAGATAACTTAGTACCCAGCCTGAACTGCTGAAACGAAAGCAGCTGGCTCTGGACCTGAGCTGTCCCTAAGGGGACAGACATGTTCCGTGTCCCAGCTGTGCCAATGATGATACCTGGTGGGTGCTGTGCAGAGTTCTGCATGATGCTACCACGGCGGGGAAATGGGTAAAGAGGCCACGGGATCTGTGTTTTTTCGTAAAACTGCCTGTAAATCCACAATTACCTCAAAATAAAAGGGTAACTTAAAAAAAAAAACTATGAATACAATGTAATTTACTAACTTTTGGTGTTTCAATTGCTAACATTAAGCACCTCAATGCACAAAAATCAAGGGCCTAATAAAATAAATGCTCAACAATTCACTATCTTCATGGAAGTGGTGGCCTGAATCTGCTCAAATGGTGATCGTCTAAAAGTCATTTATTTTGGGTTTTCATTATCACTTGAGTCTATTTATTTCTTTGCTATATTTGGTCTACACTGAGGTAGAAATTACAGGAATTCTCATTCCCCAGGTGCACATGAATTCTGCCCCTGGGCACTGGATGGGGCCCTGGCTTCAGAGTCGGTCACCTGGGGGGCGGGGTCAGGAACACAGACGCCAGCCCCAACCCCTGCCACTGCTTCAGTCTAGGACCCTGAGACCCACAACTACGATATGCAGCCAAGTTCGGGAAACCCTAAGTAAACCTGGCCAAGGGGTGGCCACACTGGTATGGCCACAGATCTGACCTGCTTCCAAATGCTTGTAAACCAACCCACTTAACCATGCACGAGGACGACCATTTCACCAGAAATACGTTTCTTAGCAGCTCAGAATTTTATTGCCCCCCCCAATAAACTGAAATAAAACCTGTGCCAGGAGACTGAGAACCAGTAAGAGTCAACATGAGAAAACTGTAGGAAAATGAAAGCTAGGCAGGGCACAGAACTAAGAAAGCTTTAAACCGCTCAGCCTGGCCAAAGACAGCTCTGGTTACTGTACGTAAAGTCACGCTGTTACTTCAGAACTGGCCTCTTCTCACACTGAGAATCTTTACTGAGACTTGTCCATTTTTGGCTCCCCCCACAATCCTATTTTGACTTTTTATTAAGCCCAAAAAAACCACTTATATGTCTAAATACCAAATTTTAAATGTTTTACTCCAGCTAAATTATCTGTACTAACAGCATTAAAAAAAACCTTTAAGAATTCATATAAAATAAAATTCTCTTCAAGAATACGTCAATTACTTCTTTTTGTTTTCAGAACAAGAGCTGAAGAATAACTTTGCTTTCTTCAACAGGTTTTAAAGTGCGTGCTTGCAATTTCCTTACAAAATTATCAGATTAACAGGATAAGGGCCAACACACAGCTGTCAGCAGGCCTATATCCAAAGTTCCGAAAGAAAAACTCAAGAAATAAGCCTTTATAACTCACTGCTCATTTTTTAAAATTTCCCTACAGGGTTATTAATTTAATGCAGGTATCTTCCACATCACTGTATTTCAATTTTTATTTCAACAGATTGTATTTTAAAATAAATTAATTTTCTGTGTCAGAATGAACATTTGTCCTATATAATATTCTTCTGTAGTTGGGCTATTTTCAAGTTTTAAATTATGATTAATTATGGACTAACAACAATGTATTCTTTTCAAACATTTTGTGATTCTGGACTCAGATTTGACACTTAGACATATATTATTTAAGTAAACTATTTCAGACCACCTTTCTTTGTTTTTAGAACCATTTTCTTTCATGGACTTCTTAAACAAACAAAAAACCAAAAAACATACATAGTAATTATATACTATTTTTTTCATGTCTTTTTAAAATTTATAATTTAAATGCTCACATTACTGTTTCCTTTAGTACCTGTAGGGGAGACCCTGATCTTTTCATGTGTTGTGCATGGATTTTAACCATAGAGCAATGTGGAATCATCTGTTTTCTTTACATCTGACCTCCTTTTTCAGCACTCCTACGTCCTCACTAAATTCAAGGAGCATATGTTGGGAGTAATTTCGACCATTCAACATTCACCTCTTAGTGAATCACTCTCACCCGTATTGAACAACAATTGACAAACGCTGGTCGATTTCTCATGACCACTTTTTGAGTTTCAGATGAAATTTACACACCTGCAGACATTTTCTTGTACATTCATTAACCTCCTGACAACGGAAGTGTGATTCCATTTGTGCCAGCATTCATGCATGCCAAGCAGAGAAATCTGGGCTCTGTCCCAAGGTAATGGGGAACCCCAGAGGGCACTAAACGCAGCAGGAGCAGGGTGTGCAGACATGGCTGGCGGGATCTGGCAGACATGGGGGGGGTGGCTGTGGAGCCAGGCAGGGCGGAGTGAGGGCCCCAACCCACCCCAGCCCCACACTCCCCCAGATGCAGCCGCCTTCCCTTCTCAGTGTTGGCATGGCCACGCCCAGGGCTTCACCCTAAAGCCCTTTTTAGAGAACCTTCTCGGGCAGCAACAACCTGCTTGGCCCAATCCCAGTGCCTGACTCGCGAGGTTCCTGGGGGCCGACGTGGGGGCAGGACTGGCAGACCCGGCAGCCACACGGTCCATAGGAAAAGCACCAAACGTCCCCAGCAAATATATACAGACTTTAAAAATGTAACGTAGCCAATATAGAAAACTACCTAGTTAAAGTGAGTAATTCAAAGTAAATCAAAGTGACATAATTTAACATACAGAAAATAAACTCATAGAACAGTCTACTCAAGCAACAGAAACAAAAGTAAGAATAAACAAATGGGACCTAATGAAACTTACAAGCTTCTGCACAGCAAAGGAAACCATAAGTAAAACAAAAAGACAACCTATGGAATGGGAAAAGATTTTTGCAAATGAAACCGACAAAGGCTTGATCTCCAGAATATATAAGCAGCTCATACAGCTTAATAAGAAACAACCAAACAACCCAATCCAAAAATGGGCCAAAGACCTAAACAAGCAATTCTCCAAGGAAGACATACAAATGATCAATAGACACATGAAAAAATTCTCAATATCACTAATTATCAGAGAAATGCAAATCAAAACTACAATGAGGTATCACCTCACACCAGTCAGAATGGCCATCATTCAAAAGTCCACAAATGACAAATGCTGGAGAGGCTGTGGAGAAAGGGGAACCCTCCTTCACTGCTGGTGGGAATGCAGTTTGGTGCAGCCACTGTGGAAAACAGTGTGGAGATTCCTCAAAAGACTAGGAATAGACTTACCATATGATCCAGGAATCCCACTCCTGGGCATATATCCAGAAGGAACCCTACTTCAAAACGACACCTGCACCCCAATGTTCATAGCAGCACTATTTACAATAGCCAAGACATGGAAACAGCCTAAATGTCCATCAGTGGATGACTGGATAAAGAAGAGGTGGTGTATTTATACAATGGAATACTACTCAGCCATAAAACCTGACAACATAACGCCATTTGCAGCAACATGGATGCTCCTGGAGAATGTCATTCTAAGTGAAGTAAGCCAGAAAGAGAAAGAAAAATATCATATGAGATCACGCATATGTGGAATCTAAAAAAACAAACAAACAAAGCATAAATACAAAACAGAAACAGAGTCATAGACATAGAATACAAACTTGTGGTTGCCAAGGGGGCAGGGGGTGGGAAGGGATAGACTGGGATTTCAAAATTGTAGAATAACTAAACAAGATTATACTGTAAAGCACAGGGAAATGTATACAAGATCTTACGGTAGCTCACAGAAAAATGTGACAATGAATATAAATATATGCTCATGTATCACTGAAAAATTGTGCTCTACACTAAAACTTGACAAAACATTGTAAAATGATAATAAGTCAATAAAAAATGTCAAAAAAAAGAAAAAAGAAAATAAACTCATAGCATTAAAATCAGTGGACTTCTGGCTTTTCCTGATCAAACTCCACCATATCCCCTGAAAGTTATTCAAAGGATTAAGTTTCATTAAAATTTATAGTTTGAATCATTTATACTTCATGACTACTTCTTTACTGCAGTTAAAAGTGCACCAGGAGAAACACAGGACCACACGACAGTCACATTCAGCACACGGAGACCTGGGTGGGCCCTGCTGGCCCCGCAGGGGGACGCGGGGTAACTGGTGGCTGGAATGCAGGTTACATGGACAGGTACTGTCCCCCAGATGAACCCCGCAGCAGACAGGAAGGTGGAAAAGATAAATTAACTAAGTTAGTTTACAGAATCACGTCCCTAGACTGGAACTGTGTTCTCTGGATGGTAAGTAAGTAAAAGCTCCCTTTCGTCAGGCCTCCCTGGCCCCAGCTGCCCAGCCCGGTGAGCCTGACCACAGGTGATGAGAACCTGGCCCTGGGACAGAGTGGCCAGAATCACGGGAGGGAAAAACAGAGCAAACTACCACAGAGCAGTTAAGCTTCCTGCAACCTGCGTCCAGGGAAACATACAAGTCACTTACATCTTAAGACGACTACTTTGGCCCCAACTATCGTTTTAAAATATACTAACTTCCAGGAGTTAGAAGGTTGACGATAATGTCGTGACAAGTAGGTGTGGAGTAACAAATAAGGACAAGTAAATGTCAGAACATGTAGACAACACTCACTATGTAAAACTCAAGAAGACACTTCTTTCCTTCTGTGGCAGAGGTGATGTTTGGCCTCGGGGAAGGGAGGCAATTGAACAAAACACAACACCGACTCTCAGGCAGGCTGCCGAGGGCCAGCTGCGCCACCTCAGGAAATGGCCAGACGGGGGAGTTGGGGGTGGGGGGTGTTCCATGACTGTTTCACAACCACCACAACCTGTGGCGTTGATGGAAACTGCTGACCCCGACCCAGGGGTGGGCAGGGCGAGTGGAAAGAACTAGCCCCTCGAAGAGCCAAGTCATTTTCCCAGAGCCAGCAGCGGGGCGGTGGCAGGGTCAGAACCCACCTCGTGCCAGAGCCGCAGCCCTGTTTCCTCCGCACAGGGACCCTGAGAGGGGGAACGAGGCGGTGGGGACATGCGCACCACACGCTCCTCTCCCCCTCTGCAGCCGGGCTTGGGGAGACAGGGCTGTCATGGGTCAACTGTCGAAACTCAGCCCCAGCTCTCTCCAGTCATTCCTCATCATTATGACTCACGGTTGATCATGATTTTTCTAATTAAACCCTGAAAGGTTCTTCAGCACCTAAGCTCAGTGTGCTTTATAAAGCATGCAGTACACACCTTCGATCCCCACACTTATTGCTGGGACTCATCTGAGAACAGAAGTGACAAAGAGCAGGAGGGCGCCCAGCTACAACGAGTCCCCGAACGCAGTGCTGCCCCGACAAACTCATCCCCACGACGAAGCGCTGTGCAGCTGGTAGAAACGTGTGCGCTGCTAAAATCACCCATCAGAAGACAGTCACGGTGTGATCAGAAGGGGGAGTTTACACCACCACCACTCCTCTGAAAGTTGAACGCTGTGCACCTGCGTGCGCGCAGGCCCAGGTTCAGAGGAGATGTACACTCAGATGTTCAGTGTGGCTCCATCTCGGTGGTGGATTTTTTAAAAAATGCTTTTCTGTTTTCTCTGGATTCTGTTTTCCTCATTTTGCATTTAACATATTACTTTCTTTTTTAATTATTAAAAAAAAAACCACTCCAGTTTTGAAACAGGGTTCAGAAAACCTACTTTGGGAAGAACAGACAAAGCTTCCCAGGACGACCCCGAGTCGGGCTGTCGCCCTGCCCAGGGGACTGCGGTGCACTCACCTGAGAAGCGATGTTGAGCGTGACCGTGTCCAGCCCCCCGGAGAGCAAGCCCTGAGTGTCAGCCAGAGTCAGGGTGACGCTGGCCTCTCCCCCAACTCCCGAGGAGGACATGACCAGGTTCTGAGCAGATATGGAGGATGGGGACATCGGTGTGGTCGAAGGAAGGCTTCCAGTTGCAGTGTTAAGTTCTACAAAACAAGGCAAAAGAAGCAGATCAACAGAAACGTAGGCAAGTCCAATTCCAATGGCATGGGAAGGCGGTTTTCACACAGGCATGTGCCTGTCATAACAGCACTTACACCGCCTAAGCTTCTGAAACTGCATCAAGGAAATCACTGACTCTGATCCCAAAGGTGTGGCAAGGCTTTTGTGAAAAACCAGTTATCTTTATATATAAGTATACTCTGCTCCTTAAGTATAATATAGAGAAAAAACACTAAGAGAAGAGTAAAATCGTGACCTACAGTCCCAGTCACTGCTGCCAGTGCAGAAGGTGACCAAGACAAGAGTTCCAGGGCACTGCCCCATCCAGGGCCAGACCCCAGCCTAACAGAGAGACAGAATGTGACCGCTGAGTGACGACCCATTCCGGAGTGCAACACTGCCCACCTCCGCTTCCGTCCCCAGGCTCACCGCCCTTTACATGTGCCTACTCTCAAACACGGAAGGTCCAAATAAACCTCACGCAACCCTTTAAATATTCACTTATCCTGCATGACATAGAACTTTGCTTTAGAAAACAAAACATTGTAATATTTTCCCCTCGTAGCCAATGATATAAGAGGAAGATACCTGGGACCACTTGGGCAAGGAAAGGCCTCCTCTCCTACAAAACAGAAACTCATGCACCCACCGGCAAACGAGGGGGGCTCGGCATGGGATTATCGAAAGTCCTGGTGGGGGCACCAACAAAAAACAATTTTTTAAGTTTTTATTTGTAAGCATAACACACATGCACATGCACGTGTACACACACGTGCACACACACGTGCACACACACACACACGCTGTTCTCATGGGCGGCCCGTCCATTCAGCTGACAGACATGATTTATCGTCCACCTGCACTAGCCTGTGCCAGGTGCCAGAGACACCGAGATGAAAACTAAAGCGCAAGTTCCAAACACTATTTCCTGTTGAGGTTTGAGCACAAGACAAAACGCGACTCCTGCAGATGCTCTGCTAAGACAGGGCGGGCTCTGGGCGGGACCGCAGGGAACCAGGTTACTTACTTGTAACTGGCGTCCTCCACAGATCCACACTCCCGGAGTCCCACACTGTGCTGCACAGACCTGGAACCTTCAAAAGCAGTACAACCATTAGGAGGCTGGGAGTCTCTGCTCTGAAGCAGCCACGCGCTCCCGAGGACCTCATCAGACCCCCCGCCTTGCCCCGCGTCTGCACAGGGCGCACGCCCAGGGCCCGCTGGGGCAGGAGGAGGAGTGTGGATGTGTGGAGGGCAGTACCGCGGCCGCCTCGAGATCCTGACGTCACCTCCATGCACCCTAACTCCTGCAACCCCACACACAGGGGCAATTTTGTAGAGAGGGACCAGGATAAGAGAGGAGGCTCCTGCAGACCACGGCGTGGCTGGAGCAACACCATGGAGGAGAGGGCGGGCTCGGGCCCTCAGAGCACCCAGCTGAGGGGGGCTCGTCAACAAAGAGCAAAACCGAGAGCCGGCGGCTCATCTCAGCTTAGACGGCTGGGACTTCAGACCTCGCCCCAACTCCTGAAATAAAGGAACCCAGGAGCTCCTCCCCTTCCCACCAGTAAAATAATCCTGACTTTCTGATGATTGTTACCATGGTGGAAGCTTCCAGGACTGTGCAGCACAGGAAATGCAAAGACAAAACAGAAGCCTGCAAGTTCATTAACTAAAGTGAACCCTGACAAAAAGCTCAGGGGAAAGACTGAATAATTTGATAATGCCAGAGTTGACAGCTCAACTCAACAAAGGTGGTGAATGAAGCTTTACTAATGTTCTTAATTTAAGAGACTTCCCATAAGAAGGATGAGACCAGTTCAAGTAGGACTGGCCTCAATACTGTTGAGAAGAACACATGATGACTAAACACTGAAATTTTAAGCATGCAACTATATAATGAAAGAGGTAATTACTTGTGTTTAATACGCAGCTCTTAGTTATGCAAAAATACTTGTTTAAGCTCTAGATGCCACAATTTTAAAATTCAAATTAATACTCTTAAACAGGAAAGTTAAGATTCAACACTGAAGTACAGACTGTAGACACTTAATCTTAGTTCTCACTTATTTTTCTCTAAAACCACTATTTCTCTAGGATGTAACACCATCACCTAAGTAAGCACTACTTCATTTTAAGATTCTAACTCAAAAAGAGTAATCTTTAAAGAAGGAATAAATTCTGTATTTTCATCAAACCCAGTACTGTCCTAAATCTTTGTCGGGATAAGTTTCCAGTCTCTAAAAAGACTTAATTTTGGAAGGTTTTGTTAGAAGTTTACAAGATGTGAAATCAGGTTTTTCTTGAGATTAACAAAAACGCAGTAAGAGGAGGTGTGGTGCTGTTCACCCCCAGGACAGAGTGGGAAAGACGTCATTTTAAAGCACCCACAAATGAGGGATGTTAACATGTCTGAGCTACTGGGAACTAAGTAAGCGTCCTCAAATCCAGGAGAAACGGGGGCTAAAATAACCTCACAAGGAACTAGTAAACAAGAAATGGATCTTTTCTCTCATGGAAAGCAGAACTCAATTTACCCATCAAAATTATCTTAAAAATGGACTAAGGTACATTAAAAAGACAGTATCAATTTAAGATAAATTCCTTAAAAAACTGCAAATTTCATGCCTCTACTAGTAACACCTGCTTCTGAAAGGGTACTTACAACCTATTTGTCTGTTTTCAAGGAAAACCATTCGTCATGGGTGTCATCAGGGTCCAACTTCAAAATGGCCTTCCACCCTCCTGCCACACATCTGAACAAAAGCATGTGCTTCTGTTCTGGGTATGCAATTCTGACCTACGGCTGCACTGACTGAAGCTGTTCAATTTACTGAAAATTCCTAAACAGCCTTCTTTTGATGCAAGGAGCCCCAGCTGGTAAATCCCAGCCACGTTTTGTTCGCAGAGAGCTCTAACGAGCAGCACGTGCCCGCCAGCCACGCTGATAGAGGACTTCAACATGAAGTCTGCAGGGTGATGTGACACTGAGAGTCTGCATCCTAGTGTTCATCTTAGAAGGCACATGTTTCATCTCGAAGTCATTTTAATTGCAGTCTTCCTGGCGTGGCCTGAAGCTTGGTCTGGGACTGACTGATTCTAAGATAAATGTTGCCCATTAAGATGCAGCGTCTTGACAACACAGCACAGATGAGGTCAGCCACTTCACTGTTAACTAGTACCAGCGGAATATGTAAACCTCGCTACAAACATCTGCTTCATACAAAGGAGCGAGTGGTTCAACCCATGAAGACTCTTCTCCTACATTCAGAATTACTCAAAGATGTTAAGTTATCTGAAGTCAAATATAAATGACTTGCTCATATAAAACTAATGCTATACATGTAATAGCTTATAACTCATTATTAAACAAATGTTCTTCAATTATGAGCTCATCTTTTATTTTATAATATCATCAAATCTCTGAAAAAAATTTTTTTTACTAAGACACCAAATTAAGCTAAAGTGTCATCAAAAAGAGAGGGGTATAGCTCAGTGGTAAAGTGCATGCTTAACAGGTGTGAGGTCCTGGGTTCTAACCCCAGTACCTTCATTTAAAAAATTCTTTAAAAATAAAAAAAGAAAGCAAAGAAAAAGACAGAAGTGTTCTCAGCTGGCTCTACAACAGTAAGTCTAAAGGAAAAGAAAAAGTCCAGTCAGGAGAAGGGGGCGTGCCTGCTGTTTTTAAAAGCAGCAGCAGCGCACAGCACACGGGGAGCCAGCCCACCGCCCAGCACCGCGGGCCGCGCTGCAGGTGAGCACGCAGGCGCCTCCCCGCCCGTGGGGCCGGCGCCCGCAGCTGCGGGTGCGGGCACAGAAGCGGAAAGCCCCAATGTCTAAGCTACCAGGGGCAGAGTTTTAAAGCCGCACTGGTGGCCAGAACAGAGCCCTCAGAGTTCGTGGAGTCGCCTCTGGCCCCTCCTCCCTCCTGACCAGAACGTCACCAGCTCCGAGGCAAGAAACCCGCTGCACCAGCAAACACGCAGGCTCACCAGACAGCACACACACTAAACCCACCCCGCGCAAACCGGAACAGCCAAAGTGCCTGTCTTTCCCCTGACTCACCCCGGACTCACGGGAGGCATCAAGCAGAGCTCCTGGCACAACAGCAACTCCGCCCCGGGAGGCCGGTGGGGGAGCCTGAGCCCCCAGCTCACAGCGGGACACGCCTCCCTCTGGCCAAGGGCACGTGCCCCCATCGCAGCACCAGCACACGTGGCGGGAGACAGGGGCCCTGGAGGCCACGAGGAAGAGCACACAGACTGACTTTGGGGGGAAGTCTGTAGAGAAGAGCTTGCCGTGTAACCTGAATAGTATATACTGTACTTGAGACGTCCTATCGCAGGCTGACTACAACCTGAAAGTCTCAGCTTTCACAGCCAATTAGAACACAAAACAAAATTCCCCTTACTTGAAAAACAAAACTGAAAGCCTCTCATCTCAAAGTAATCCGCAGAAGAATTAAGCTCTATGATTAGGTGTTTAGAGCCCCAAGTGAGACAAGCACACTGACGACCGAGAAACAGTGACAATAAAACAAGAAGGCCGAGGACAGCGGCCAGGAGGCCAGGCTCTGACCTGCCCAGAGCTGCCAGCACGGGACTCAGATGGCTTCTTACCCTCCGGGTCAGTTTACCCTGGAGCAACGGGGAGGGGCGGACGGAAAACCCATCGAGGGTCCCGAGTGGAACCTTACTACACGCTGCCTCCCTCAGCTCACCAGCCTTCTCCAGTTCGGCAAGTGCCCGCACCCCACAGCTCACAGGCGGAAAGGCTCCCCGGCCCCCAGAGCTCCCGCCCCCCGGCTCAGCCCCGCGTGCCCGGGGAGGCTGGCCCCGACTCACTCTCTGGACACCCTTCTCTCTCCTTCACGGATCATTACTACTGTAATTCTCCACTGACTTACGGATTCGTTAATACTTGCCTGTGCTCTGTTAATTTCTAGGGTCCAAAACGCAAGGGGACCATGTCTGCCTCACTCAACACCCTATACCCAGATTTAGTCCCATCCCACTACAATCTTTTACTGAACAGAAGGCTTACTGAATAAGAAAGCATTTCAAATAAACATGAAAAGAAGTTTTAGCTGTGGGTACAAATATATCTGAAGATTTAATTTTTTTCTCAAAAATATGATATACAGGGTTGGAAAATAAGAGGGCTAAGAAACTACTGAAATCTCTACAAGAGAAAGAAAACATGCACGTCACCCTACACTGGTGATGGTTACTTACGACGCTGTGATTTATTTCCCTGGAGCTCACTTACTTTTACTTTTTATTAAGTCTGTTCTTCAAAACCTTAGTAAAACACCTCCTTCTAACTTTGTCATCCCCCAGTCAGCTGGTGCCAGAACACTCACACTGCAGGGCACCAAGTAAGGAGCCAGAGAAACTCCCTGCTCAGAAGAGACAGGACCAGCTCTGCATGGGCTCAGCAGTGCTGACGTGCGGACACACACGATGCTTCGCGTATCTGAATAAAATGATTTACCTTTATTCTTTAAAAGGTATAAACAACCTTAAAAGGTTAGCAACTTGAGAGAGAGAGAGCGCTGTGTGTCCTAGAATTACACATCAGCCACCTGTTGTCCCGGAAACACAGCAGACATACCAGAACACGCAGTTCACACATGCATCACACCGAGACCGCTGCCTGCTCTCCGCTGACCAGGTGCCCGGCCCTCTAACCAGGACACACTGTGAGGTCCTCAGCGGCGTACCTGAAGAGGCCAGCGCTGCGCTCTGTGAGAGAAGCTGCTCGTTGCTGATCGTCAGGGTGGCACCTGTAGACTGATGACTGACGGCAGGCGCTGACAGTCTGATGCTTCCATTCAGCTCGCTGCTTCCGTTAGAATTGTGCTGAATAAGGTCTTGACCTAAACGGAAACTAATACTGTGATATTCGGAGGTAACGTGTTCATTTACATCCTGGCAAGTGTGTTGAACATATATAATAGTTGAACATATATAACATCCTGTTAAAAATGAAAGCTCTCTCACTTTTAACAGTATTTATAGAAAAAATTAAAATAAGACCATGAAATACATTTCCCTAAATGAAAGCACTTGTTCACACTTTCTAAGCTCTGAGGTTTTAAGAGCTTAAGCATTTTACTTAAACTCAGTATTTAGGCACTTAAAAGTCACATACTTTGTTGAACAAAACTTAACCTGATATGAAAATTATTACCAAATGTGGGACCACCGGGTGTAGCAAAGGTGTGCTGAGAAGGATCAAAGGGCCAGACCACAGGGCAATAGGAGGGCCGCCCATGCAGAAGGGCCCTGCCCCAAAGCGCCGGGACGCCCCGCACACTCACACGCCGTCAGGACTCCCACGAAGACCCAGGCCTCTACCAGCCCCATCAGCCACTGGAATCTGACAGTGTGCTCAGACACACGGAAACAGATGGACACGAAAGGCAAAACCCTGCTGACGTCCCAGTGGAGCCACACTGAACACTTTCCAAGACCCGACAAAGACAACCTGCTTTTTAAACCCTGCTGTCAAGCTGAGCATCAGCAAGACACGGAGTGGGACGAGGCACTGCTGACATACGAGTCACTACAGCCAGTTCTCACCACACACAACAAGGAAAAGTGAGGAAACAGGAGATCCTATTCTCAAGGTTTGGGCAAACCTCATTTCATCAAGTGATTTAAAGACTTCCCCTGGGATAAACCTTTTTAGCCAATTTTTAAAATAAACTACAATTATACTCATCTATTCTTTTGGATATACTAAAAAGCAATAAAACACCTAAATTATCAATAATAGGAAAATACAGGAGAAACAGAAGCACAATCCACAAACAAAGTCACACATTTCCTGAATTACAAGCAAAAATTACGTGTTTTTTCGTATAGGACTAGCACAGTACCTTATATACTGAGGGACTTTGATCAACAAAATAGCTTTCTTAAAATAACTTCTATGTTTCCAACAGTAAAATCCAGGCATATTTAACAAAAAGAGGAAGTTCCTGAATTAGCTAAAATTCAAAGTTGATTTTTGCTGGCGATTAGCATCTAAAAATCACTGTATGTCATTTAAAAGCAAAGCTCCATGTAAGAATAGTTCCTCGAATTTCTCACACAAACTGAAGGGAATAAAAGCAGCGCTCGGACTCCACATGACCGCGCTCTCTGCGCCAACCACCATTTCCGCAGAAATCTCGTGCAAGAGGGAATGCTACGCTGGCCGTCGGTCCTTGTGTTTTAAGGGAAAATGTGATGCTTCCTGCCCTAAGTCTGTATCTCCAGGGAGGTGGTTCTGACTCCCAGCATTTTTTTTTTAACAACCAATAAAAGATTGCTTTTATAAGACTTAAATGTCCCAATATCTACAATTCACACCAATATACTCCCTTTGTTTAAAGGGGTGGGAGTAAGAATTACAAAGCCGGTCTGCTCTTCACTGAACAAAAAACCTGTGACAAAACTGACTCAAACTGGAAGTGCCAAGGACCACAGTTTCTGGGATCAGGTGTGAAGTGTAGTGTCCTTTTCACTAAACTGGAGTTTCTCACATAAATTACACATACCTCCTGAAGTACTGGATTTATGCAAAGCTCAGTCTTACAGGAAAAAAATAAATATAGAATTCACTTAAATTGCAGGTGAAGGATTTTAAACGTTTTAAGACTAACCAGAGATGGTCAGGGTGATTTCCTGCGGGGACCCCGAGGACGCCCCGGCGCTGGGCCCGGCAGCCTGCGCCAAGACCTGGCTCAGACTTGAGTTGTTGATGGTCAGGGTGATCTCGTGGGGGCCGCTGGAGGTGGACACCAGGCCCGGTGGCGCCATCACCTGAGAGAGGTCTTGCGTCCCTGGTCATCACGACAAAAGAGAACACAGCCGGGCTTAGAAGAAGAATTTTCTCTTTTTACATTAAGAATATTTTTGTGAAACTGTTGCTTTGAAAAGAGAATGATTCAAAATAAAATACCAGTTGTCTCTAATTCCTTCATCCAAAATGACTCAAAAAGGCTTTATGATGGCACAGGAAGCCAGTTCTGTGAATGCAATAACCTATGTGCGTATGTTGACTAAATGTCATTCATCCCAAGAAAACGTTTATTCTCAGAATATTCAACTACTTGCTGAGCTTTATAGAGAGCAGGAAACAGCATCCTACGTCCTAAAATCAGACATGTGACTGAGCAAGAAGCTGAAACCCCGGAGTCCCCACCAACAAAAACGCAGCTCTCACCACTGCTGCTGGTGGTCAGCACAGAGTCCTGCTCCGACAGGGGGCCTATGGTCAAGTTGGCAGATGTCACCGTGGGCTGTAAGGACAGGCCTGAGATGGGCTGGATGACAACACTGGCTGGGACCGTACTGTCTGGCGTCTGAAGAGAGCTGCTTTGTGGGGCCAGCCCGGGCTCTCCCGTCAGCTGCTGAGCAAGCAAGCTGCCCTGCTGTAAGGTCTGCTGCAGGATGCCTGGGTCAATCTGAAAGTGACAGACACTCGGATGACAACACTTGGGTCGATCCATGACTCAGACCACATTAAAGCCCAGAAAACCCTGGCGGGTGTCATACCTGCAGTGTGATGTTATTAATGCTGGAGGCATCAATTCCAGAGATTTGAACATTTGGCCCAACCAAGTTAGCCGCCAACTGTAACTGGATACCTTCCAGGGTGGCCAGGCTTCCGTCTGTCAAAGACACGGTCCAGTCACCACCAGCTGCAGAGAAAGAATAGGAGTGAATGGGTATCAGGAAACCTTCTTAAATAGAAAAACTCTTTTTCACACAGGGATTGTTAGCCAACTAAGCGCTATGCATCCATATGGGCTAGTTAAGGCGCACTGCTACCCACTGTACATCAGACACATCCCTGTCTAATCTCACCGCCACAAACAGAGCCTGTGAAAGATGTAAAACAACACTAATACTGTTGTTCCTCAGACTTTAATCCTGCCACAGCCACACAACAGAAAGGAAGTCACGAGAGGTGTCTAACAGCTGTCCGCAGTCGCTGTGCTACCTGTAAGAACACAAAGAGCCCAGCTGGCTCAAGCTTAGTGCTTTCCAAGCACTCAGATAAGTCCAGGGGATAGAACAAGTTCGTTTGTGGGTAGCTCCCTGTTTCATTTGTGAGCGCGCTAAACAGGAAGAGACAGGACTGGCCCCGCAGGGACAAAAGCTAAACAAGGTGCCGGGCTGAGAAGCGGGCGTGGTGCTGCCGAGAGCGGGGTCAGGAAAGTGGCTGAGTCTGAAAGGTGAAACTTCAGTTTTCCAACTGCCTCGTGTGGGAAAGCTGTACTCTGGGCTGCAAGTCGTGGACAGACAAGCGTGTGTCTGTCCACCAGGGACCTCACTGACCCCCCCTTCCCGGTCCCCCGGCGACCGGTTCACCTGACACGGAGGCGGGCAGAACGGCCTGGCCCACCAGCCCGGGTTGCAGCAAACCCTGGTCCAGCTGTCCTGCCAGAACAGAGTTATTCATGATGAACACATTGGGGTCCGAGGAGGACGCCTGCAGGGTGCTCGCGGGCTGCAGGCCTTCCGATGAGCTCCGGGTCACGGGCTTCCTGCCTTTCTTCGGGTCGGGTTTGTAATGAAACTGCATGTGCGTCTTCCTCCGCCCCGATGTGCGGAAACGCAGCTCACAGTGCGGACACTTGAAGGGCTTGGCGCCTGTGTGCAGGCGCATGTGGACCTTCAGGCTGCCCTTCGTGGAAAAGGCGTTGCTGCACACATGACAGCTGAAGAGCTTCTGACCTGTGGAAAAACAGAGTGGATCAGGGGACGGACGAACGGATGGGCGACACTTGCTCCCACGCAGCGCAGGCACCGTGGGATGCAGATGCGCTCCCGAGAGCCCTCCTTCTGCAGGACACATGGCGAGGACCCAGGGTGGCTGCAGAACTGCCCGAGAAGTTCACCACTTGTGCTCAGTCCTCTCCCAACACGATACTCGGTGCCGCAGCATCACACTGAGCCCAGATGGGGCGGGGCCAGAGCTGCTTCCCCAAGGGCAGCAACGAGCATCGCCCTCTTTGCTGACAAAGGGGCGCCCAAAGCAGCTCCGGGAGAAAGCGCCTGAGGTGCATTCCAAGCTCCGTCCAGGTCGGCTCCCGCAACACCAGCTCTCTGAACGCATGGCCGCCCAGCAGAGGCTCTGGGAGAAGAGGGGCGGCTCCTGGAGGACCGAGACTCACCCAGGACCAGTGAGGCTGCTCTGCTGGCCCTGCTCAGGACTCACGGGCCACCTGACGATGCCAAGGACAAAGGTCCCGAGAGGGGCTTCCCCAGACTCTCCTGCTAGTCCTCATGCCCAGAGCCCACATAGCTGGGGGCACATGCCGGCACCCCGTGTGAGCATGGCCGCACTGGCCCTGCCAGAAACACAGGTGAGTGGGCTCTTTTGACCTCAGCAGCCCCAGTGCAGCGCAAGAGGGACAAACACAGACCCGAATGGAACAACAGAAAAGCCAGCCACCGAAGAGGCAGGCCGACTTCACGTATCTGTTCAATCCCAGATACTCGCCTATCAGAAAAGAACCACAGGGTTCACAGCTGGATGTGACATTCCACTTGAACTCTTTTGGTCAATTCTGCTATTTATAACCAAAAATTAAGACTACAAATTACTCTGATAATCACAAGCCTACGAATCACAGCAACAACCCTGACATTTACTCAACTGTTTACCACGTGGCACTTCCTGACCCAGTGGGAGGGGTACTGGTTTCAGCCCCATTTTCCACACGAGGAACTGGAGGCTCAGAGAAGAGGCTGAGAAGTGAGTACAGGACCCACACCAGGCAGATGTGCAGAGTCCGGCTTCCTGCCCCCGGGACGCACTGCGCAGAAGCCAGGAGCAGAGGTTTAAGACGTCCTAGTCAGGACAGCCAACCTGCAGCTCCTCAAATCAGGTGGGGAAAAGAGAATGGCCGTGACAGTTGTTCCCCTCACGTAAAAAGAATTACTACCTGGTACCTGTAATCAGAGTTGCAAAATCCCGTTTTCACAAACCTCAACAAACTGAATCTCTGGCCCAAAGACTAAAAGGCAATCTTCCTAACACAGGTGTTTAAGTCTGAGTAAGACCACGAGACCACTTACAACTAGCCATTTCAGACCTAGACCCTTTCCTTCAACACTATATGGATCATTTAATCCGTGTCAGGAATCACACGTCTTTGACACCCATTTCCTTATGGTTCCTCGTTTTTAAGCTCTAATTGTAAAAGTGCCCATGTGCACACCACACACAGGCACACACATACACGAAAGGCACCTTCCGACGCGCAGGTGCGCGCTCTCACCTGTGTGGGTCTTCACGTGGCAGTCCAGCGTAGACTTAACAGTGAAGCTCTTCCCACACTCATCGCATTTATACGGCTTTTCTCCAGTGTGGATTCGAACATGCCTAGCCGGAAAACATTTGCAATTATTGAGTGTTTTTCTTTTTAATTTTATACACATTTGCTAACAACTTCGAGATTTTAAATTTGTAGCCACCCAAATAAACAAAAATGTGTGACTATGTACTGAATACCTTTGGCCAAATGTAACTTTCATGCCTCACTGTATACAAAAAACACCAAAAAATAAAAAAAAATCTACAAGACCAATGAAAACAGGACTAACGTTCTTAAACAACAAAGAGTTCTTACAAATCATTGATAAGACAAGAAACACCACAGCAGAAGAACAAGCAACACACAGGCAGCTTGGAGAAGAAACACGAACAGCAAAAAGCCACGTGAGAGGAGCTCCCCCACACGCAGACTCTAAAGGCAGCAAGTTCGGATGATAAGATGCCCCCTTCCCCATCAGCCTGGTGATGACCCTGTTGGCTGGTTTGGCTGGGAGGCCAGCGGGGGGTGTGTGTATCCACCAGCACTGACCCTGGACCCCACGTAGGTGCACGCAGCACACAGGACAGCGCTGCTGGTGATTAAATGCTGAAAACTCAACCATCCATCAGTGAGGTCTGGTGAGACAAGCTCCAGGACGCCCACGCAACAGGACGCGAGGTCACCACTGAGAACGAAGGAGGTTGCCAAGGTACCAAGAAAGAAAGTTGTCTGAGACTCAACAACACGTAAAAATTAAACCAAAAGCAGGTGCAAGAACTTAATGCTGACATACATGTGGACATTTCTGAAAAAAGCACATTACTGCTGAGCGTGGCTGTCTCTGAGGAGAGGATTTTTTTACTTTACAGCCTCCTGTGCTGTTTTTTGTTTTGTTTTGCTCCACCATATTTGTCCAATACATGATGGGAGAGACCAAGCCTCAAATGACTATTAAGGGAAGGACAGAACAAGAAGAAAGCTGAGAGCTGCCCAGCTGCACCGCGCTCCTGTTTCCAGGGTAACCGCCTTCAACGTCTCCTCTGTGGTGCAGACGTCAGGGTCCTGCCTCCCTGTCTCATGGCCTGTCCTTCATGGCTGCTCAGCAGCGCCACCCCCAGGCCACACCCTGCAGGCCTTCAAAGTGGGGTGTGGATGCCCACAGGGCGCTTCCAGCCCCTCCGCCCCACCCACCGCACCTCCCGTCCTCAAAACGTGCAGTCTTGAAACCACAACTCGAGAAAGTAACAGGCCCCAGGAGGCACCGGGTTCAACACCAGCCTCCCCCGCTGCAGAGAGAGCGAGCGGAGCAGGCAGCCCGGGGCGGGGGCCGGGCCGCACCTGACCAAATCACTGGGCTTCTTGAAGCTCTTGGGGCAGTAGGAGCAGCAGTTGGCGTGCTTGGGCTCGGCCTCCAGCTCTGCCTGCCTGTCCTTCATCTCGCTGATGCGGTCCTTCTCAGCGGCTGACTGCACCAGCACCTGCTCGGATACCGTGGCGCTCTCCTGCGGCCGAATTCTGGCTAACTGCGCCGTCTCCTCCTCTGTGAAGGTGATGACCTCGGGACGAGCCTTTCTAGACCCATTTCTTTCGGAATTTTCTTCCTCTTCCTCCAGACCCATCTCTAAACAAAATATAAGAAAAGGGATGAAATCCTAGTGAAAAACTAAGTTTGAAGAGAGTAAGTAAACCAACACTAAATATTCAACTTAAGTCCGTGAGGTTGAAGTTGTAACTCAGTGAAGCTGCACTTGGGACGGGGAAGAGCCTTCCACACCACTGCTGCACTGAGAAACCACGCAGGTGCGCAGGGAAGAGAGCAGCACCGGAAGGACGTGCCTCAAGGGAGGCACCACTGACCCCAGAAAGACGCTGCGATCAAAGACCGACTTCCGCCCCTGCTGCCCAGCCAACAGTGAGCGGCGAGCGCGTCAGTGCCCGCACCTGATGGGTTAGCAGTGCCCAGACAGACAGGCATTTGCTCATTAATACGGGGGAAGCGAAGTCCCATAAGGTAAAGAAAAGCAGCAGCCCAAAGAAGAGACCAAAGAGGTAAGTTAGCAAACAGCCCCCAATCAAAAAGACTTACTGAACGGAAAAAAACACCACATACATACATACTATATGGAAGTATTCTCTCAGGGAAACACGGGGAAACATTTACACTGATCAAAAACTAGAATGAGCGGGGGAGCTGTAACGGAAAGGAGGTCTGGCTGGGAGGGCGACGTCATTACTGCACAGATAGCTAAGAAATTTTTGTAAATGACAGAAACACTAAATAGCAAAATGGACAGTGACCAAAACCAAATTTGTGAATTAAAACCTAACTGGATGATCCTCTTGGAAGAAAGAGAAAAAAGGTGGATGGGAGGAGGAGAAAGGCAGAGGGGCAGGGAGGAGGGTGAGAGGAGGGGCCCAGGGAGGCTGGAGCCACGCAGGGGTAATTGCAGAAAAGGAAATACAAACTTCCATATCAATGTCAACACAACGTGGGAAGGTCTGGGGGCAGCAGGTCAGGGACGGTGGCCCCACCAACACAGATGAGGAAACGTCGGCAAGAGAGCACGAGGATTAGGGCAGAGTCACTAAAGGCAGGCAGGACAGTGAAACGGAGCCAGGACCAGGGACACCGCGTGCGCGTGTGGCGCCCAGCACACCCCCTCCCGGCACGGCAGGCGTGGTAAGACCAGGAACGGCTGAAGAAAGGTCAGTCTGCAGGTGACCCTTCTCCCACCCACAGCAAGGCTCACGTCGAGTCTCTTCTCAGTGGCCCAGAAGAGGAAGACACTAAGACGTGCAATGGTGCAGCTAAACCTGCAGGCAGCACATGCTGAGGCTGCAAAGAGCCTCCACTCAACCTGGCAGGCTGAGGTAAAGGCATCAGGTGCTTACTAGCCAATGGGAAGGATGCGTACTTAGACTTAGAAACTATGTGCATCTGCTGATTAGCTAACACTCTCCAAACTACAGAGCTCTAGAAATAGTACCTGGACACCCATGGACGTCTCCTCTCTGAGTCTTTCTTTCAAAAAGCACGTATCGCTTTCATAAGCAGAAAATGAAATTAACTCATTTTAAAGGTGATCTGCATATTAATTAATCACTAAGCGAGCCTCTAGCCAGTAAGCTTGACCCCACAAAGGGACACACCTGCTCCTTCACCCTCTCCGGACGCTGAGCCCGCAGAGGGGGCCGCCTGGTGCCTCTTCATGTGCTTCTTGCAGTGCACCGTGGTCCGGAAGCCCTGCTCGCAGAACGGGCACTTGTACGGCTTCATGCTCGTGTGCGTCGCCATGTGCCGGGTGAGGCTGCCGTTGGTGGTGAAGGAAGCACTGCAGACGCTGCAGCTGAAGGCCTTCACGCCTGGACAGAGAGACGAGGAGAGAAGGCACTCGTTACCCCAAAGTGTAAGTAACCAAAGCAAACAGAAGTGCGCTCAACACGCCACCGATTAAAGGCCATCTGTTCACTGTGATCTCCTATGTTTAGGAATCGAGGGTCTTTCAAGAAGCGTTACTTTAAGAAGATGGAAGCCATGTCGTGAGGACGTTCCCAATGAAGCAGACAGACAGGAAGTGCTGGCAAGGATATGAAACTGGAGCCCTCACACTACTGGTGGACAAGAAAACGGTAAAATCAAAGGTTTAAACAGAATTATCATAGGACCAAGCCAGCCCACTCCTAAATGGAGCTGTGAAGACATACGTCCACAAAAATGTACATGCAAACATTCAAGATTACTCCTCATTGCCAAAAAATGAAACTCTGATGTCCAACAACCAATCAGCAGATGAACAGAATGTGGCCTGTCCACACAGTGGAATATTATTCGGTTATAAAAATGAATGAAGGACACGTGCTGTAACACCGGTGAGCCTGGAACACGTGCTGGGTGAGAGAAGCTGGTGACAGAAGGTCAAAGGTGATTCGGTCCCATTACAGCAAATGTGCAGAACAGGCAAAGCCACAGAGACAGAAGACACACCAGTGCTCGTCTGGGGCGGGGGAACTGGGGGGGATGAGCAGCTCCTTCTGGGTGTGATGGAAATGTTCTAGAACGAGACAGTGGTGATGGCTGCACCACACCCAGTGCAAGGCAGATACTGACCTGTGTGTGTCTTCTCGTGGGACTTGAGGACCCCAGAGGAGACGCAGCCACGTCCACAGAGCTTGCACTTGTACGGCTTCTCCCCAGTGTGTGAGCGGACGTGCTGCTTCAAGTGGCTGGACTTCTTAAAGCCTTTGTGGCAATAGTCACACCTAGAACACAACAAAGCACGTTAGTTCACAGCATGATTACAAATGTGACACTTGAGAATGGAAGAAAAGCAAATACTCTTCACCAACAACCAATAAACAATCAGGTATAAGCGTCACAGAAACTAAGTATGTCCTCAACACTTAATACTTACAGAATGCTAGCAATAGTCACACATTAGACCAAATTCTGCTCGGAGTGTCTGTACTCTTAAACATATTGTATTATTTCAAACTTAGTAAAATCTATGGCAGTCCTCCAGCAGAAACAGTATCTGATTAATCGGAAACTACTCCTTTTACAGACAGTATGTCCACTGCGTGCTGTTTTCTTTTCTAAGTCGTAAGACATCGTGAACCTTTACACACTGCAGGCTCAGAATCACTTGGAGTCTAGACGCTTGGAAATGTCAGTTCATTTACTCTTTCATTGATAAAATACTTTACGAAACAGATGTTACTAGAACCCTTTTGAATAATACATAAATAATACAGTGTTGTTTTCCTCTCAGTTGTTATAGATTATACTAATATTACTTTAAGGATGAAATAATTTTAAAACTTCTATTCATGTATTATTAAAAGCTAAAAAAAAAAGATTTAGAAAGCTTATTTCAACTTATTTCCCTATTTTTTCCATTTCCAAGTTTTAATCTGTGGTGGGAAGTCTGTGAAATTCTAAACCATCACCTCCGAAGGCGGGACGCGCGCGCGCACACAGCTAAGCCTCTGCGGACGCCGGAGCTGAACTGAAGACTGACTCTCGTAAACCCCCTGGGAGCGTCGCCCCGGGGACGAGTCTGGTTTAGTGAGGTCACCCAGTGACAGCAGAAAAGCAAGCAAACGGTCACCAACCAGTTCTAGAGAAACAATTCTGCAGACGAAGTCGGGGTTGATTCTAGTCTGTGTGTCAGCAGAAGAAAATACCCGTTTCCGGAGCTGAGCACCCTAACCGATCTGATGTTTGCTGAGAAAGGTTTCCTAATAAGATATCTGAACTTGTCAAAACGGTCTCATCTACTCATTAAAGCTGGCCACGGGCCACAGAGAAACAGCCGCCCCAGAGGGCAGCGTGAGAACCAGACCTGCACGCCCAGCCCCGCTCCCCGGCCATGGGGCCTCTCCCACGGCTGCACCCGGCTCATCCAGCGCAGCTCCAGGAGGAGACGTGGGCAGTGCAGCTGCTCACGGAAACAGCTCATCTGAAGGGCGCCCTGCCCAGGGTTCACAACTCCCGGGAGCTCTGCTGCTCTCCACTCTGTCACACTTACAATAAAACTCAGAGGACCCGGTTCCATGCTTCCTCACGTCCTGGGCGGGGATCCCTGCTCTCCCTCATCTGAGCTGATGAAAGACACCCCCCCCCCGTATCTGCACACACACTGCCCACACACGTCCCCCTGGCCAGAGAGCCCAGGGCGCAACCTCTCAGCCCCTCCTTTGCTCACAGACATCGCCCCTGCGGCTTTAACATGCAGACTAAAAACTCCCAGGTGCGCATGTCCACCCTGGCCTCTCCCTTAATTCCAATCTGGTTTAAGGAACTGCCTACATGACATTCCTTCTCGAATACTCAATCCTAATGATTCAAAACCAAGCCTCAGTCTTGACACCAACACCTGCCCTCCCCCAGGATCTCCCTTTCCAGGAGCAGTAATTTCATCTTCCAGTGGCTCAGGTCACAGTCCTAGAAGTCAGCCCTAACACTTCTTCTCTCACATCTGCTCCTGTCACCACCCAGCAGGCCGAGCTCACCTCCACCCACTCCCCCAGGGCCTCCCCGCCCGCTGTCACTTTCTCCACCACCACAACACTGACCTACGGGGGGGCCACCAGTTATTCTGCCCTATTATCTCTTCCCACTGGAACATCAGCTCCATGAGGACTGAGGTTCTCGTCTCTTCTGCTCAATGATACAGCCCTGGTGCTCTGCACACGGCAAGTTCTTCACAAACACTGAACGAACAAATGAGTGAATGAATGGATGGTGAACGAGTGAATGGCTGAGTGAATGGTGAATGACTGAGTGGATGGTGACTGAATGAATGAATGGTGATTGAGTGAGTGACTGGCGTCTGAGTAGCCAGAAATCTAAAAGTGCCCAAGCAGATGTCACAAAGGAATCACACACACAAAAATCAGACTAATCTCACTTAGAAGTACTGATGCCAAATCCAAACTTAAGCATCAGCGGACACCTGCTGAGTAAATGGAAGTGTGAGACATCAGGGGTCAGAGAGGCACTAAGGCTGGCTACGCGCACTCGCTCAGAGTCCACGAGTCGCAGGTAAGAGCCAGCGCTCCAGCAGTTCTGAAGCTGCAAACGGATGAAGGCCTCAGGGCGGCCCGCTTCTGAAGACACAGAATCTAACACGTAAACCCAGGCATAAGGTATGAAACACAAATCCTGTGAAAATGGAACCTGGCCTCTCAAAGTTTCCTGCTTAACAATATTAACAAGACTTATTCATTTTCAAAACTCATCACTACGACCACTCATCTGAGTTAAGGTAGATCACCATTTCTTAAGAGTAACTAATGAGACACGTTTTTTGTTGAATGGCTCTGGAAAAAATCATCAGAGTTTATAAAGTATTTGAAGTAAACAATAAAACCAGTAAAATATTATCAAGCCAAGACTACCCCTATAAAGACAATATTCATTTTCCCCTTTTTATTGCGTATGTACCCATATTTAATTTTAAAGAAACCCACATAAACGCCTGCGTCCTCGTATGAGCTGGGCGGGGCCTCTGCTCTTCTCCCGGCACCCAGACCGCACACGGCACCTGGGGGTGCTCAGTACACACGCCTGGGGGAGAGGGTGGGTGAGGAACCAGCAAGTGAGCTCGTTTAAACCCTGTCTTCGTGATCATACAGGCTGTGCTACAAAGCACACAAAGAGCCTTGGACAAAAGGCACAATGTTAAGTTACTTCTGAAAACAAGGTAACGACGGCCCAGTGGTGACAGGACGCTGCTGTGAGAAGGGTAAACGTGCAGGTGGCTGCATCCAAACCTGGGCCGTGTTGCTTGCTAGCCGTACAAATTTCCACAAGTTAGTCTCCTTCGTCTCAGACACTTCCTTTACAAAGTGGGGCGACAACGGACCCTGCGACACAGAGCTCCTGAGCGGGAGTGCAGGGGCCCGCATTCAGCGCCCTGTGCCTGCGGACATGTACCTGTAGGAGCGCCGGCTCTGCTCTTCGCTCTCCTCCAGGAACTGGGGGCGTGGGGTCTGCAGGTCCAGCTCTTCCTGTGATGACTCTTGAATCAAACGAGTTGTCTAAAATTCAGTAGAAGTATAAGGCAGACTACTTGAGTATCTATGAATAAATACAAAACAACTAACAACTAAGGATAAAAAAACGCATAAATGCAGATTTAAAAGGGAGAAACCCCAAGTGGTTCACTGTAATCATTTGGGCTAGGTTAATAATAAAAATCATTTATACCAATTTTATTGAAGAAGTACATATTTTTATATTTATCTTCTAATAACTTGCTTTAATACAAAGTTTACTCGAGCACGAGACTGATCTTTCTGTACTTTTTATGTCTCTTAAGAGAACACTCTTTCATCTGCTCTGAAAGTGAATAAAAGGTCCTACTTGCTTAAAATGTTTAGTCTCCTCGTTCATCACACAGTCACGGGAGAGCAAGAGAGCAGACCCTGCCCCTTCCTGCACAGGAGCTGCAGCCCAGGCAGCCAGCGCCGGGAAGCGAGCGGAGACCTGCTCAGTGACTTACGACCCTGCAGGAAACAGCATGCTCCGTGGACAGAGGACAGGCTGACCTTCGGGACGTGCGGAGCCAGCACGGGACAGGCCCTAGCAGTGGAGAACACACTCGTGTGCACTCATCCCCGACCTCCAGGACCCATGCGGACGACCCCGCCGTGCCCCGAGTGAGCAGGGTGCTGTGTGACGCAGAGGCCCCACAGTAGGGGAGGCTGGACCTCCACCACCCACAGGCAGCATCCGCTGTCAATTACAGCTTCTGAGCAGGGAGAAGAGGCTCCGAGATTGTCACTGCAGGGTCCAGGTCCACCACTTGGGAAAGCTACCAGTAGTGGCTTTTAGGGAAAGAAAACAACTGACTGGCCAATCATTTTCATCACTAATGAAAGATTTTCAAAAATGGCAAGATCAAAACAAAAACAAAAACTTAAGTGCCTCCAACTTGACTGGGAGAGAAAAATTTTAAATGATGCAGTTAAATATTTATTTTTAGTATGTCTACACTCATATTTTCATTCTAACATATTTCTTTTAATATTACACCAATTTAAATGTTTAGGTTTTGTCACTAAAGTAACATAATACCCTGCAGATGTCACTGAAGTCAGTCACACCCTACTGACTTTCCTGACTTCTAGCCAAAAAGGTAAAGCCACATCATGGGAATGAAATCTTAAAAGTTACATGGAAATGTTTTAAGGGAAAAGAAAGCCTTTTATGCTAAACAGTTAAATTTTCACAGGTGACGCAGTAACCTTTAAAGCTGAGGAGGTTAACATGCCCTCTTCAGCACGTAAACTTTAAACAACTGCAGTGAAGAATAAAACACAATGTGCTAAATAATGACAATTCAGTGATACTCACTACGTTCATCGTGTCAGAGCTGGGGACCTGAAGTAAGTTCTGCTGGTGGAAACTCGTGGAGAGGGCCTGAGACTCCAGCGTGCTGGAATCCTGCAGCTGCTGGACAGGTGGGAACGCAGTCTGCTGATTATATGTATCGGTCACTGTAAAACCTGAAATAAATTAGAAAATATGAGTTATGCCAAAAAAAAATCCCCAAAAAGCTGGTTTCATAAATAAAGATATTTAAAGGAACAGTTCTCCTTCCTGAATTAGAATCAGGATTAGTCTTTGTCAGCAGGCTCTAAAATCATCTGCTTGCAGGCAGGAGGCTGCACTCAGCTCAGGTCCTTCAGTGCAAGTTACAGACCAGCCAGAAATACCGTCACCCCTAAGTCCCAACTTCTACTCAGTGACAGTTTCTTGGCTGGAAACCACGTGTAGAATGGTTGCGAAAGTTGCTTTCTGCAAAATCTGAACAGACTAAAAAACAGCGAGTGTGCACACACACATACACGCAGGTAAAATTCACGCAGAAAGTTACTTGGTTTTTGAAACCATAAATTTCAGGACGGCATTAAAAGAACAAGGTTTTTTGTCCAGTTAAACCAGACCCAAACACAGCTCACTGAAAAATCCACATGTACGGCCCCGCACTGACCCTGTGACAAGCCCGCCGGCTGGAAGGATGGCTGAGGGGGCGCCTGCTCGTCAAACTGCTCCACGTGCCCCTGCAGGGGGCCCTGAGGGGCCACAAACCCATCTGAAGACAAGAACACAAGGAGGGGGGATTCACAAACCTGGGAGTTATCTCAAACCTACCATCTGTCCAGAAGGACACTTCACTGAGTCTTTATAAATCAGCCCCTTACTGTGAAGAGACAGTAGGAGGATAGGTTATATACGTATAAAATGCAGTTAAGGCATTATCTTTGTACTTCCAGAGCATCACTTCAGTTTACCCTTTCAAACTTAAGCATTCTTCTATGACATGATACCCCAATGCAATTTCCTTCAACAAGGATTTAAAACCTTTCTGGATGTGCGCTGTTCCAGGCAACACAGAGGCTAGGAAGTGCAGAGTCCTGCTCTTGGACCAGATACAAACACAAGTGGTCCACGGGCTCACCTGCCCCAGGATCGACTCCGAGTGCCCTGAGCAGGATACGCACGGTGGCGCGGACGTCCACTCAGTGCAAACCAAGGGCATTTTCAGTGCATTAAGGTGTGAAAACGGGTTATAAAACGTACACACTGGGAAGCCCTACTGCCACAATTCGAGCTGTGCACCCAACTCTCGCACGCACAGCACAAACTGTGATGTAAAAAGCCAAGGTGAGAGGACAACGTGGACTGGAGTATGGCGGGCTGCAAACTTTTAAAAGCTGAAACTCCTGAAACACTCACCTTCATCCGCCTCCAAGGGCTGGCCTGTCATCTGCTGGCCGAGCCCCGCCTCCTCCACCACGACGTGGGGCGGCTCCAGGTCCAGCAGGGCGGCGGGCGCGGCTGCCACGGCCCCGGCGCTCTGCTGCAGCGCGGAGCCCTCGATCTCCACCTGCATCTGGGTGGGGACAGGCGTGCCCTGCTGGTCCAAGGGGCCGTCATCCACCGCGGAGGCTTCCTGGTGCTGCTGCAGCTGCTGGGCGAGCTCATACCTTCAAAGAGTCAACAGCGGTCTGTGACACACCTGCACCGGCTGCAACAACGGCTTTTATGTTAAACTGCCGCACTCTGACGTCGGTGGCAGTCCAGTTGAAAACTAAGTATTAATAGTTCTGAAAGAAAAACCACGCTCCCTTGTCTGCAAATCCCCCGTCTGTCACTGATGATAGGGACCTGAAGGCAACAAGGACTTTCTTCAAGTTTAAAAACATAAAAAAGATGCCACCTGTTTCACAGCAGAACTCTCCCAGCTCAAACTCTGCACTGAGCCAGAGCGCTCAGAAGAGAGGCACGCCACAGGGCCTCGCCTTCACGGACGCCTCCAGTGCTACAACGGCGTGGGGGCCGGGGCTGTCCTGCGGCTGCCGGGGCCACGCACGCCTCCTCGGACCACCGGTCACCGCGCCGCCTCAGGGCACGGAGCACGGGACGTGGGGCTGCACTGACTTCCTGCAAGACCGTTGTTCATGTCGACGTTACTTGTATCTACACGAAATCCACCCAGCATATCTTCCCAAGGTCAACAATTTCTCTATCAAAGAGAAAGATGGACAATGAACTCAGTGAGGCTGTCCAATAATATCTAACCTATGAAGGGGCCAATCCGCATTCTAAGGTGCCGTGGATTCCAGAATCGTCTGAATCTGCCAACTCAGAACTCCCCTCCTAGTCCCAACCACAATCTTTCCTCTTCATTTCTGGTATCAAAAATGGTCAATTCTTGACTACTTTTACCAAGGAAGGGGGAACAAAAATGTACTAAAAAGTATGGAAGAAAACACGCCCTGTGACACCATTACCACTGGGTGGCTGCACAGCGGTGGCACGGGTCCACGTGGGTCCCCCTCTGTGGTCACTGTGGGAGCTTTGTTTCCTGTTTGTTTGCTTGGGTGTTTCCATAGCTTTTACTCTAGTAACTTTTTATACCGTCTTTACTGCAAGTGTGTACGGTATCTGAGGAATCCCCAAGACTTACAAACAAAGGGCTGAGACACCAGAGCCACTCTCTGCTTGCAGGCAGCTTCCAAGGACACACAGTCTATAAGATAAACACCCGGCCCTGCAGTGGCACTGTCACCTCAAAGTCATACTCCTGGAGTAACTGTAGCGTATGTCCCTCAGCGTAACCCCTGACGAGCAGTGGCCAAGGCAACACTCAACGGACAGAGGTGACCCAGCTGAAAACAGCTGACCCTGTGCCCAGAAATCACTCCCCTCGCTCTTGGGCCCATCATCAAGGCCCTAACCTGTCCTCCCGCCACCACTAGGTGCACGGTCAAGGCCACTTCCTGACAGACAAAGACACTGCTCACTACGCGCTAGGCGGGCTGTGCCCACGCCCCACCTCTCTGAGCTGGGTACCCCTCCTGGGCGTCCTGCCCCAGAGGGCGGGAACACAGCACCCCGAACATCCATGCACTCACGAATCCCCAGTTCCTGAACACATGTGAAGCACGGAATTTACTCCATAAAATGCACTGAAGTGTAGTAACTGGATACATAACCGGCCGGAGGCCCCTGACACCACACCATCATGTTCCCTAGATGGTCTCAAGAAGCAGTTAAACTCCTTGGCTATGTCGTCAACTGTGCCAAAATCAAGGATACCGCTTCTGCCCAGCGTGCCGAGGCAAACCAGAGCCGTGTCCCTCACAGCTTCCTTACTCTAACCGCTGGAGTTCTGTTCCGGACGTCATGCCCAGACAGAGACATCCAGGGTAAAACGCTGCCTGTCAGTAAGCGCTCTGGGGCAGAAGGCTAACACTCCTTTACGGCAAGCCTAGCGTCTCACTTCACTAGGACGCGGCCCCTTGCCCAGGCTTCCCATCACAGCCCAGGACTCTGGCTTCACAGACGCACCCACTGTCGAGGTGGGACACAGTCAGAAGTGCGTCTCTGCAACGGCTCGGTGGGTCAGCTCCAGCGAGACGGGGCAGCCCTCTGACCAAGCAGAACGTGTGAGCTTTAGTGAGGAATCTGTGCCACAGCTGAAACCCACGTACTTTTCAGGTTAGCGACACAGAGCAATTGCCACCCAAGTCACAATGATGACGCGCCCAGAAGCCACGGCTTGACCGGGATTTCCTTTCTTGGAATCTCCACCGCCTCATTATAGCAGCCATTGTCTGTCTAGCGTTCCATCTAGTACTGATGGTCAGTTTTAAGAGAGTTTACAAAGCATTTAGCCCAATACAGACTACCTCAACATCACAGTAAAAGTTAAAACGTTCATGCTTTAGTCTGTGGTTCTCCATAAATCCTTAAACACTGATTTAGAAGCTTCTTTGTCCAAACACATCAAGCTAGAAGAATACAGGAAACAAAGACAAGCACTTCCTCAAGCCACTCTCGGCCGGCACCGGGGGCCAGGAAGACAGTCGGCCGGGCCGCCTGGCCCACGCACCTGTGGGTCTTCATGTGCTTCTTGCAGTTGAGCGCGGTCTTGAAGGTCTTCTGGCAGTAGGGGCACATGTAGGGCCGCAGGTCGCTGTGGATGCCCATGTGCCGCCGCAGGCTGCCGCCCGTGCTGAACGCGCCGTTGCACACCAGACACTTGAACGACTTGAGGCCGCTGTGAGTGCGGACGTGCGCCTTGAGCACGCCGGCAGAAACAAAGCCTCTTCCACACTGGGAACACTTAAAGGGCTTCTCACCTGTGTGTGACCTGAACGGAACGACAGCTGTGAGGAGTGAGCGAGCGGCTCGCGCGTCGCCCTCTCTCCCCTGACCGCCACTTCTCTGAGCTAAGCAGCCAAGACCCGCTCTCCGTTCTACCAGCGGGACCCCCGGGACTCGGCGCCCAGGCAACCTCGCTACGCCCCAAGCTCGTGCACAACCGACAGAGCCGGACCCCGCCGCCCTCCACACTCTGCGCTCCTCGCGGCATCCGTCCCTCCTGATGGGGCTTCTACTTCCTCTTCCCTGCTTCTCACACCAAGCGTTACCCTAAACTCTGAGGGTACACCTGCAGAGCTGTCAGGATAATCCCAAAGACACAAACCAAATACGTCTTTGATGTCCTGGCAACTGCAAATACTGAAATACAGTAAGAGTGTAAATAAAATTCAGTGGTAATCTGGGTAAAACATTTTAGTCAAGACACGAAAGAATGAAAATAGCAATTACCAATAAGTACCTTGGGGTCAAAAGTGACATTTTAAATACCAAAAGCTAACACTACTATTTGTATTATTTCTACAAGTTGCCAGATCATAAATCACTGTAATTACACTCAATTCCATCTCTGAATCTATGTCACCTTACCTGATGTGCTGTTTAAGATGGCAAGACTTTTTATATGCACGATGACAGTAAAAGCACTTGTACGGTCTATCTGCTTCATTTACAAAATTGTTATTAAAATAACTTTGAAAAAACTGGTTTCTTGGAATGGGCTGGATAAGACCTATAAACCAAAAGAAAACCAGGAATAAGTCACTGTCAATACTACTAAGAAAGTCAAATGTCAAAAGGCATCTGCTTTACGCACAAGATAAAAATCCTGAGGAATTAAGAGTACGGATTCCAATGTTGCAACTAAATGCATTTTACTATGTTAGAAACTGGCTATTTAAAGAATACCTAGCAGGAAATACTTACAAAGTTAACTTAAGGTAGATTTTTTTTCCAACTTACGGAAAATCTCTACTGTCACAGTTACTTCTCCTGGTTCTAGAGCCAATTTTTAATGGATTTCTGCATTTACTTCCTATATGAGCATTTGCTGGCATGGAATCTAACATAAATATATCAAAATTTAGGTTAATCAGGATTTTAAGTCGCTTGTTCAGTATGAAGAGTGGAACCTGAGTGCTGTAACAAACTCAAAACACAAGTGACCCTAACTCCACGTAATATCTGATAAGCTACTTCCTTGTTCATTGTTGAACTTAATGGAACGATTTCTAAGCCAAACACCAACTAAAAATGTGTAGATCTCTCCTCCCACAATCAAAGTGAACTGTACAAATACACAAATGTGAGAAATTAATTTTCTATAATCTACCAGACAAGATACGCATTAAAAAGCAAGACAAGAAAGTGAAATGTTAAGCAAGTAGTTATATAAACGATATAAATTCACAGAAGCAGATAAAATCAATAAAATTCACAATGAATAAACAAAAAAGCCCTCCAACAGCTGTCTGACGTCTGTCTCACAGGGAAAAAGCAAGATATTTTGCAAATAAGAAAATACATTATTGCTTTTGCCATATCCCACACCAAAAAAAATATACACCTTACTGGGTGTCGGGAGGAAATGGGGCTCAAAAGCTTGCCGACTCGTCAGACCTGAAGCCAGTTAATAAAAGCAGGGTTCCCAGGGAGTTTCCCCCCCGGGCTCTGCAATGCAGACACCAAGCTCACTAGACAGCAGGACCACGTGGTTTCATCAGAGTAGCCAGGCCGGGACCTCCTCCGCGCTCGAGGCTGCACCTGACTTAGCACCTCCAGGAAGAGAACTACTGTCCGCACCATCAGCCCCTGGCATCTAGCCTTCGCTGGAGCAGCCCGACTCCAGAACCTCAACCAGAGACTTCAGACCGGCTATCTGCACCAGGCCTCGAAGCTAGGAGCCCTTCCGAGGCCCACAGGTGTCCCGTCTCTCTGTCACCCCCGTGCTGGCGCAGGGCCCCCTCCCGCCCCACTGTTCTCCCAGTTCTTTGCTCCTGTGGCTTCTGGAACCTACATTCCAAGACAAACAAGTTCTCCACCCTAAAAAGGCCCCATAAACAATGTTTAGTTACTCATTTCCCTTCCGTAATGGTAGGTCTCTGGTCGAACGGCTCCCCTCAACGCTCCCGTTCCTGAGGGTCCATTCAAGTCTGAGGAGCCTTGGCCTCCAGTCTCAGCCCATCTTCTGTCTCCCCGTCTGACCTCCCTCCCACCAGACCTGCCTGCCCTCCATGAACCAAACATCTTTAACCCATCTCTTGCCAGTCCACCCTGTGCAACCTGCAAGTCTTCTGGCCTCGTCTCAGTAATTCACAAGATCATAAAGAAAAACAGAACCTGCCCGTTAAACCTCTCAAGAGAAAACCATAATTAACAGTTTAGCATAAACTCTAACAAAACAGCCTGTAATACAAAAACGTAAGTGGGACCCACCATACACATCCTTCTGCAATTACTGTTCACACTTCACATACACATTTAACCTTTCATGGCACCACCCCATCATTCTTGGGATGTTGGCCAGAAAACCCACTGTTCCAATGTACCCAGTTCTCTCAGGACACTTTTGATGGATATTTTGATTGTTTCTAACTGCACACTATCACAACGCTGCCTGAACTATCTAGTAACACAACCACTGCCTTGTGACCCCCCAGGTGTGAGATTACAATCTCTGGGGTGGTACCAGGCACACGTATTTTTAAACAGAGCCCCAGGTGATTCTGAGCCCTTGCAGGGGTCAGAGGGGGGGTCCCACTTTGAGCTATTAAGGAAGTGAAATAGCAGGCTTCTTTTGTCACCTCCAATAATTTTACAAACACAAAGTTCTGTTAAAAAGTTAGGCCAACTGTAAGGTCTCAGTATTTGAAGAAGAAAAAAAGGTGAATTCAACATACATATAAGTCCTAGGGTCTTGTCTCATTATGCCATTTCAATAAACTATTACTCCTCTTACACATACGTATTTTTTTTCTTAAAGAAAACTACTAATCTCAAAGAAAGGCATGAATAAATTTCAGTGAGTTAATACGCCTCAAAAAAAAAATTGGAATGTCCTCAAAGCTTCCTAAATTCTTTCTATACTAAAAGAAAGAGCTTTATCTTGTTATGGTGCTTGGGAAAAATACAACTTAGTCTTACAAGAGCTTTCACATACTGCAAAATAACAAAATGATGATATAGTAAACATAGGTAACACAGAAGATGAATCCGGGGTACTAGGTTAGACAAGCATGTTGAAGACAAAGCAAGATCAATGCACTAATATCAATATGGTTAAAACACGGATATAAACTGGAGGGTCAATCACCACAGCCCTGAGGTTTAAAGTAACAGGTAACCAAAGTGGCTCATTTCCAAGAAAATATATTTCAAACATCTATGCTCCTGCACAAAAATGGAAAAATGGTGATACACACATAGAGTCTATATATGAGAAAAATAGTGATTTTAAAAGAAAACCAGACATGTCATATATACACATGATTTGAAAATCCAGGAGCAGCTGCGGATGACAACACGACAGTCCCCTTGACTCCAGTGCTTCCCCAGTCCAGCACTACGTCATCTGAAGTTCAGTGCTCGAGTAGGAGGGAGAGCACTCAGACGCAGCAGATGGCGTGTCTAGTGAGACACGTCCCTGAAGTGCAGTCGGTCAAGGAGACCACTGCCCGATGCCAGTGGACACAGGACACCCAGAACTCACGGCCCCGCCACCTCTGTGCCCGGGCGCGACAGGAACAGGCATGAGGTGAGCGAGCTTCACCAGCCACACCCCAATGCCGGCGCCAGGGGCCCAGGCTCTACCTCGACTGCAAGTGCTGGCTGGGGGGCCCTCTCAGGGGCCCGGTTTCTGCATCCGCAAAAATGAACAGTGGTGAGTGTGGAGAAGCTCTGGGAAGATTATTTTTAAGTTCCCGTGTGAAGGTTTTAAAAGTTCTATGGCTATATGGGACTCCTCCCTTCAATGACGCTCCCTTCCAGGCAGAGACTGAAGCACCTGGCGTAGCAAGATTCAGCGCCTTCTAACACTTTCCCACATGACAGTCCTGGTGTAAAAGGGAGTGTGTTTTAAGTGACTAGACTGAGCTGGAACTCCTCATCTACCAATTACGTCAGGTAATTGTGACTAATCAATGTAAACCCTCTCTGTCATGCTGTTATCAAGACCTGCCCCCCAAAGATTATTACAGTCACCAGTCCTATGTTTTCTATGTAGACCCCAAAGAGCTCAGAGTCCGAGGGAAGAGACAGACACAAACATAATAACTATGACGGGGAAAAATAAACATTTACAGTGTTTCACATTTTACAATGTGGAGTCAGCTCCATGAATCATCTTTCCCCCATGTGTCTCACTCAGCTTAGAACAAAGGAGAATTCTACCTCCACAAATTTGGTCTAAGATGCAGGCGTCTGTGAAGCCAAAAGTAAAATGTTCCCCATTTTAATCTTGGCAAAAGCTGGGGAATCAAGACTCCAGTCCAACTCAACTAAGGATTTGTAGACTTAATGGCAGGAAATCCATAGGGTATAACCTGACTCACAGTAACCTGAGGAAACTGGTGATTTGAAGGGCCCCTCAAGGTGAAGGTAATTCCAAGTCTACTAAATAAATGTTTCATCTGTCCTGAATTTCAGAGATTCTTTCCCATTTTAGGAATAACACAAATCACTGAGAACCTAGACACTGTGGCAAAGACTGAACACACATTAAGTGAAGCTGGCCTGTTGTTTACTTTTGTGAGCTAGCGGGACCGCACAAGCACATGGAAGAATTCCAACCTACCATGGGGCTGTGACCAGCTTGTACATCCTAAACAATGATACCCTCAGAACTACAGTTCCTGGGAAGCTCAGGGGAACTTACACATAAAATCACTGGAGACTGGTATTTGGGGGAGGATGAACTTAAATTTGCATCTTTTGGGGGTTTTCCATTTCTTCTGGAGTCAATGCTGGTAAGTACATTATTCTAGAAAAAATTCATTTCATCTAATCTTCAAATTTGTTAGTAGGAAACTGTCGAGTTGCCACAATTTTTATTTCATTTGTGTCTGTGCCTACAGCTTGTTTTCCTCCCTAACATTATGGATGTTTCCTCAGCCTTTACCAGACATGGCAGGTTATCTATCTAAATGTTCACTTTAAAACACTGAAATTATGTTCACTAGAACTGTCTTCTAAAATTTTTATACTTAGTAATTCCTTGTTGCTACTTTCTTTTCACTTTTCTAGCTTGTTGAGTGATATATTTTATTTATTTTCACTATTTTTTAGGAAGAAATACTTCTTCAAAGTCTTAATTTTTCTGATGATAGTTTTCATCCAATCTGTTCATAAAATGTTCCCATTTATAGTACGTAATTGTAATTTTGAGTCTTCCTTTTCTATATAATGAAATTTTAGACAGCTATTTTCTATTAATTTATATTTTCATAAGCTGATCTAACTGCAGACCCCTTACTATACTTCAGTATTTGAGTATTTCTCCTTTTTTCTGTTTCTGGTTTAGCTATTTTGATGCTACGCTTTCTTGGATACATGAGAAGGTCCATGACTACTGATCACCTTATTAGTGGACTATAATTGACATTTATCTAAAATATCTCTTTATATCATTTAAGCTTCATTTATATTAAATTATAATTTGTTTGCTATTAACTTGTTCACAAATGACATTATGTTGCCTAAGACAATGATGAAATACAGGGAACTGCATAAAGAATTTTCTTGCACAGAATTGAATGAGTTTTCTTTAATTTTGTTCTAGGACCTACAAAAATCATTTTCTGAAGATTCTCATAAGCAGCGTTTTCTTTTTAGTTAGTTAACAAAATCATAATTTACCTCGGCTATAACACTGAGCTTAAAGAGAACTTACAAGCTGGCAGTTTTTGTTTTTAATCCAAAGGTTAAAGCAGCCCGAGCAGGAGCCTGTTACACACCACGCAGGGATTAGGATGTAAACAGTGGCATGCCCCGGGGGCTGCACACACACAGCGCCGTCCATCTCTGACAGCTCCACCGAGACACAGAGTCTTCCTCAGGGAAGGCTTACACACTGATACCTTTGCTCACACACCATTTCTCTTAGCCAAGTACATACTCTGAGCAGAAGTTGACATAGAACTATGATTTCAATTTGACTGTGGAACATACTGGCCCATAAAACAAAGCACTGCTTAACAACAGCTCCATTAACACCACTGACAACGACGAGTTAGCCATTTACACCAGGACATTCACACTCCCTCTGTAAGGCACCAAAGGGAAGAGCCTCTTACCTACGTCTGTTATGAGAATCGGCTCCTGCAAGGGAATGTCGGGGACCGGGACGCTGGCCTTGCCCACGCGAACCTTGGCAGGCTTCCGCTGGTGCCTCATCTTCCTTAACTCCGTGTGCTTAAAGTGGGAAGCAATGTGAGTCTTCCTGTGTCCTGAGGTTCGAAACTTCTTGTCACAGTGAGGACAAGCAAAGGGTCTGACTCCTAATAAAAATAAAAGTACAGTGTGGAGTTATTGGAAGGAACTACATCTCAGTTAATGCCAACATAAACTTCTAGTAATTCAATATTGAACGAACAGTTTCTCATTTCATGCTATATATATATACATATATATACATATACACATATATATAATTTCATGGCTATTATAAATCAGCTATTTTCCTCGGTGTGCACACAGTGCACATTACAGACGCTAAGGCATGTAATAAAGGGTATCTTAAGAGCGAGCCTTTACGATTTTCAGGAGAAGGCCTAAAACGTAAAACGGATGCTCAAAAACAATTAGCAGTCTTAAGCACACTACCAGGTAAGACTGCTCTCTCTCGCAGCATCCGTCACCTGCGAGGGACAACGGTGCCGGCCCCAGGCCTGCTGCGGGAAGGCCGGCAGTCGGCAGGGGAGGGGCCGGGGTCCTCAGCGGGCCAGGTGGGCCCCACGGCGCTACGGGAGGGAGGCCGGCCGGTACCTGTGTGCAGGCGGATGTGCACTTTGAGGCTTCCCGAGGTGGAGAAGCTCTTCATACAGTACTGGCACTTGAACGCCTTGATGCCTGTGTGGGTCTTGATGTGGGCGGTCAGGGTGCTCTTCACGGCAAAGGCTCGGAAGCACTGTGGGCACTTGAAGGGCTTCTCGTGGGTGTGGATGCGGATGTGGCGCACCAGGTCACTGGGCTTGCGGAACTCCTTGGCGCAGTAGGGACACACGTGCCATCGGACGCCGTTCTCCTCACGGATGGAGCCTGGAGAAACGACAACAAAAGCCGTCCAGCCTGGCCCAGAAACAGTCTGATGCCAAATGTCACCACACTTCAGTGTCCTTCTAGGGCAAGACTAACAGCATAAAAGACCTACAAAAAGCTACGCACTTCTTGCCACAACAGAAGATGCATGATCAATTATGGAAAAAGTTAAAATGTCGATAATAATGGAAATTACTGAGGACTGTGATCTAACCTTGCAGAAAATCCTACCAGTCCCACAAATCATAGCCTAAGAGATAGTGCCTCCTAGGTCCGTAACATGATACAAATCAAGAGTCAGCAGTGCAGACTCAGTCTGCCATCAATGCAAGTAAAAGCAGATGTGGTCCAATGACTCCAAAATTAACTCAAAGAACACGAAGAGAAAGAATGAAATTGCAAAAAGTATTGTTTGAGCCTGTTACAGCCAATGAAAAATAACAGCACAAATAAAAAAATTAGGAGACTGTAAGTTCTTATGCTATAAAAAGGAACTGATAGTTAAAACAAAGAAATAGTATATATGACATGAACAAGCTCATGATCAACTGAAAAAGTTTCTTTGTAACTCTAAATACTATTATTCAACCTTGAATCAGGTTTAAAACTATTCCCATCAGAAGAAAAATCACAACTAGAATTTATGGAAATATAAGTAAAATAATTTCTGAAATTTTTAAAAACAAAATTTGGCAGAATTACTTTTTTAAAAAATTTCAATTAGATTTATTCATCAGAAATTAAATAAGATACCTACAATAAGGTAAAGAATCCACTTGGAATCAAAAAGATTTTGGCCATGTTACTGAAATTCATCAGAAAATGTTAACTCCTATTTAACTATGTCTGTACAGATGTAATTTTATTAGGGAAAAAGAAAAGCTCTTTTTTCCTGTATCATCAGTAAATACAGTACTTTTCCTTATGTGCAAGGGAATCTGTTCCTGAATACAATACTCTGTAAGACTAACCACGGGGAAGGAGGTTAAGTAAAAGAATGGAAAATAACACTTTCCTACAAGGACAAAGAGAGGAACACACACAAACCACGAGGGACACGTGTTTTAAAGTGACAGACGTGTATTCTATGGTGACAGTGCTTTTATTAAGGAAGTCTAAAACTTAAGATTGCTTAAAACTGATAGGTAAAAATTAACTTAGAAATGTGCAATAATTACCTAAAGGTCTTATCATGACAAATCAGAAAAGCAAGAAAGAACAAGATGAGAGAGAACTATAACATCTATTAGCTAAAAATTAAGAACTCATCCTCTCAAATGAGATTTTTTTCTAAGCAAAAACGAAAATACATCTTTAATTATGTAAGATGACATAAAATTGTCACGAGGTTCTAATTATTTCTGGGAATAGACTGGAACAGAGACGCAAACTAGCAGCCCTGACTGCCTGCATATATTTTGCTTGGCCCAGGCTGTGTCAGAAAAAGCAAATTGAACCCAGATTTCTGACCCTTTGACAAACTGAAAGATCTGGAAAACCAGTTCTGTACTCCCACATGGCAATTCTTCCTAGCGCTGGGCAACCCGTTTTTCTCTTCAAACACATTAAAAAAATTAAAAAGAAAAAAGCACATGTTATAATTATCTTCAAGATGAAAAGGCATTTACTGAAATAGAATATCTGGCATTAATTTTTAAAAAACTGCCTAAAAACAGGAGGAGGTGAATAAAACATATCAATACAACAATCAATACAACAATAATGCTCTGCTTGACCTAGCAGAAAAACACTAAAAGCAATCCTTTACAGTCAGGAAAAAGTCCACTACCATACTGCTATTATTTCATCATGTTCAGGAGATACCAGGCGATGAAATCAGATAAAATAAAGAAATTCACAGTATCACCTATAAAGGAAAAGGCAGAATCATTGTTTACATGTGATACGATTATATCCCTAAAAAACTAAAACTTAGAAAGAGGTCCATGTTTTAATACATGCAAATCAACATCCTTCGTATCTACAGACAAAACCAGAAAGCAAGGAGCACAGACGGCATGCCCGGCGTCCTCTCAAAGCCCAAGGAGGAGGAGACGGACCACTGCGATGGGCTGACTTTGCTGGAGGCACGCGGCCTCCGCACGTTTCCCAGGGACTTCAGAGCAAGCCTCCAACATGGCAGATGCATAAGGCTCAGACTTGCCCTCACGTGCAGGGACGCCGGAAACAGTCCTCCCTGAAAGGCACCCACATGTGCTCAGTGTCTTCAACAACAGCATCTGCCTCCTTGCAAGCAGGTCTGGAAATAACTCAGGAGTTCTGGCAAGCGCACCAGCAGCCTGTGCTGAAGCCTTTAAAATGACTGGAAGGTGCTCCTCAGAGAGCAGAGCCGTCAGAACTGGTGCCCACCCCACCATCAGTGAGTCCAGTTAGTAACCCTCAGAGAAGCAATCTTCCTGTGCCGTTCACACTGGTCTTTATTACAAAGACTGCTTTGAGCTGACTGCAGTATACGTGCTGGAATTTTTCTGTAAAATGGGTGTAATTTTCCCTAAATACAGATAAGTGACAGTAAGAGGCAAATGACGCTGGTCTGTGTGAAACTGCTGTTGGAACACAGAGCAGTTATCCTAGAATCTTAAATTTTTTTTTAACTTGAAACTTAAATCAAGTCCTTTACAAAGACCACAGCTGTGGAGAATCACTTTTTTTTAAAATTGCTGAATGTAAGATTTTTGAAAAATTTTATTTTATTTTATGTGTACAGACACAAAGGATGGAGAAAATATAATCATCAGAACTAATTTTCTGTAGATAGCAACTGCATTTCTTTAAGCTGCTTCAACAACGTGTGGTCCACGGAAAAGAATGGTTTCAAAAATTACAAAAGACCCCAACAGAAGAGAAATGTGCACGCAAACAGAAGACATCATATTTTTTGAAGACACTGATTTTCTTAAAACTAAAAACGAAGGTAATCCTGAAGAGGATAAAAGATGAGAGCCATCCTCCGGGCTTCAAGAGTTATATGAAGCCATGGAGACAGCATGGTACTGATGCTGACAGAGACAGAGGGCAGAGGAGGACTGGATGCACACAGAAGTGTCAGCAGACCTGGCACGAGACCTGCACTACGTATCAGAAGGGAGACCTCCTGGTACATGGTGCAGGCCAGTCATCGCACGGGGTGAATGACACTTCAGTCCTGCATCTCTTCATTGAAGTGCAGGTCAAGTTAACGAATTAAATGCAAACGGCAAAACGTTAACACTTCTGTTAGAACACATGGGAAAACTCAACACAGGTAAGTGAGAGGTTTCTTAAGTGAAACACAGAATGCACAAACTGTAAATAAAAAGACTGATCAACATAACTGCACTGGTGAGGTAAGAATTCTATCCACCTCTTCATCAAGATCAAAATGCATCTTATAGAGAGTGGAAAGAAAAGATATTTCTAATATATTTAAAACACATATGAACAACAAAGGAATAAAATCCAGACCATCTAAAGAACACCAACAAATCAATACAAGACAGTCCAACAGAAAAAGGTAGGATCTGTGTGGAGAGATGTAAGTGACTTTTCCAGTCCTTTCTAAGCTTTAAAATTGGGTAACAGATGATAGTTGTAATTTTACTCTCATGACCTGTGCAGCAATTTTTTCTGTATGTATGACTACAACCAAACACACTCCTATCTAAATGCTTGATTTGCATAAAATGTTAGTTAAATATCAACATTTAAATGCTACAAAACTTTTGGATAATTTTTAATATGGAAAAACATCTCAAATGAAATTGCTAAAATGAACCTCAGAGCAGAATGTTCCCCCACCTCACCTGAACCTGACTTAACTTGCTTCACCCATTTCCATTCATTGGTTCTCTTCCTTCCAACTCAGTAAAGCTTTTCCTTTCTCACCGTGGCCCCCTGATTTCTCTTGTCTCCCAACTCAGGGCACTTCCATAACTGACCATCGCTGGACAACAAGACTCGGTAACCTACAAACCGTTTTCTGTTGCTGTGTGTCAACTCTGCAATGACAGACTGCACTGCAAATGCCCAGCAGGTGGCTGGCTCATGAATGCTGGCCCCAACACAGCCTGCTGTGTTGTTAGGAAAGAACGTGTGCACAGTTCAAACCAGAGCACCATCACCAAAAGTTAAAGGTCTCACGTAAATACAATACTCACACTGAATTGTAAATGACAAATAATTCCAAGAAGAATCTAAAGAAAATCTCGTAAATTCTGAATGTCTTAGTTTCAAAGAATTCTACACGAATCAGATAAATCATGGAATTTTCAAACTAAATTCAAGTATGACCAAAATGAGTAAGAATTTTTCAAAGTTTTTCTAAACTGCAATATAAAAAATGTATAAAGTAACACAGAATAACAAGTAATTTATCTGAACCATGAATAGGGAGAAATCATCTTCACTTACAACACAGACCTCCCTAAAAAAAAAGAAAAGCAGGAGTACAAAATAGGTTGGCATCTTGAATTATTCGAAGTAGATATAAATAAAAATCCAAGATGTTCATGCATGTTATTTTAAGAAAAATCACAAAGGTTGCAAAGGTTCTCACCAAGAATCAATTTATACTTAGTTTTTATGTAAATTATGTAAGTCATAGTTTATCAGATCTCCAAGCACTTAGCAGATTACAAGCAACAAAATAAGAAAGCAGAGGAAAGGTTGTTACTAGGAATTGAGAACAGCATGCAGGGGATAAAAATGTATTTTTAAAAAGCAGATGAAGCTAAAGCCCATAGCATCCTCGAGCCGTGCACTCTTACCCGTCACGGGTGTCAGCTCTCGGAGCTCACAAAGCAAGCCCAAGCCCATGGGGAGGAGCCATGCCATCGAGGGCACACTCTGGCCTAAGAAGTAACATCCCTCTGGTCTTCACAAAGGTGTCCTCACAAAATAGTTACACCGTCATCACGCTAAGGGAGTAAGTCGCTGGCTTTCCAAAACACCTCTCACTGTGATTTCTACACAGCCAGTATTTTACCACAATGATAAATTTCAAACTTTATTAAAACGTCACAGTAATTTATGTGTCACAAGTTTCACGATAAATATAAAAGTATTTGTTAAATGTTTTATTCGTACACAAAACACCTCTTAAAATAACAAAGCAAATTCTACTAAAAACATTCACTCTCACAAAACTGAATAAATCAAATACCGATAGCTTTAGACGGTAGAATATGTTCAATTTGGAAATATATTTAAGGTTAATTGTAAACTGTTCAGAAAATGTCATGACTTATGGACGGAATAATTTGCTCATGGTCTTGTTAGTGTATCAAATGGTATTCAACTATCCTCAGAGGGGTATTTTCAGAAATAATCATTACATTAAAAGTATGCTGGTCCCTAAAAAGTTTTAATCAAAAGGAATATCTTTATATAGAAACATGTCCCCAATAATTTTCTCATTACAATATCAGAAAGATGATTAAAACAAAACAAACAGCTGGGGCTGGAGGTACAGCTCAGTGGTTAGAGCACATGCTTGGCACAAGGTCCTGAGTTCAATCCTCAGGACTTCCAATAAAGGGAAAAAGAAAAGCTGGTTCCAATTTGTATAAAGGATCACATTTAATCTAAAATTTACTAGAACTACATAAACTTGTTCAGTACTCTAAGTATCTAACTCATTCAAATATTTCAAAAATTAATGTACGTAATCTTTACAAGCACAACACTCCACATTAAAATAATGCATAATAGGGTTAACTGCAATTCCATTCTGAAATCTCCATCTAATGCTTAGTCAGTACAAAAAAGAAAGCTGTTTCTAACACCTGAAGATATGCAATGACCAGGAATAAAGTCCGGCTCCCTCAGTTTAGGAAGCCACTGCTGCCCAGCATTTTTGGGAAGCCAGGTGCAGCCCTTCGCCTGGAGGAGCATGGCACCACGACAGAGCGTCCTCACAGGTTCAGCGCGGCAGCCCGACGGCAGGCAGCAGAAACTCGCGTGAAAGCTCCCACGTGGGCCGTGGCTTTCCCTCAGTCACCAGGTGCGTGTGAAGGAGACACTCGAGGATGCTCAGCTAACCTGCAACCTACACGCCCCCATTTGGGTACTGGCATTATGTGGAGTGGCCCTCTTCCTCCTCCTTGCCTCCCTAGCTCCCAGGAAGACCCAGGCAATAAACTGCTTGGATTCCATCAGCCTGTTTTTCACTCGGGGAGGACGGGTCAAATCAAGAGAAAAAGGAAAACAGAGCCACAACGTTTTGTGGGCTGAGAAACAAGGAGTTCACAAGCACAAGTTAACAATGAAAAAATGCTTCTCAGAGAAAAGCGTTAACGGAGGTGACAGTGTTTTCCATACTTTGCAGCAAGAAAGCACTTGTTCCCAAGACACCTGGGAGGGGTAGAAAAGTTATATTCGAAAACAAGGTATTTTTATAGAAGCCCTTTTGCCCAGAAGGGAGGAATCTGTTTTACCCAAGTCAGACTCAGCAGCACCTGCCCCATGCACCTGCCGCACCGAGCGCTGCGGGGCGTGGGGGCTGCGGGCTGTGTTCCGGGAGCCCACAGGCAGGAGCCAGGACAATTCTGCCGCTGGCCGAGAGGAGCAGTGTGCCCTGGGTGCTCCCACAGGAGGCTGCAGGGCTGAACTCGGATGACTGCCCGCATTTTGACAGAGAACAGGAGGGGCGGGAAGAAGACATTTATGCTGCAGAAAAGCCTGTGGAAATATGTGGCATTCCCAGAACACGTGACAATGTTCAGAAGATGTCAGGAATCCATCGTCACCGTAACAGAAGCCAGCAGCAGGGGAGGGGAGAGACTGGACGCAGGCTGGGGTAGGATGCGGGGCTCTAAGGCAGAGGGGGGAGCTGGGGGTGACGGGAGCCGCAGGGCTTCAGCAGAGAAGCTGCACCTTAGAGGCCACACGTGGCAGCACTGGGTACGAAGGCGGCAGCTCAGCCATGAGAAGAAGGCCTGGCAGGAAGGCAGGGCCTGACGGCAGGGGAGAGGAGTCAGACCTCGCCAGGACAGGGACAGGTCCAGAGAGGCCCTAGTGGGGGACAAAGGCAGCCCATGGGAAAGAGAGAAGCTAAACAAACTTAATGACAAATAAATGCTATTAGGGAGATACCATCAGAAGCCTCGAACAAACATATTACTTTCAGAAGAAAAAGGAGGGCATGTTTCACAAGTATGACTGAACTGTCTGCTGTGCACCAGAAACTGACACAACATTGTAAACTGACTCGACTTCCATTAAAAAAAAAGACTCAATAAAATTTTATACTCAAAAAAAAAACCTAACCTAAATATACACCACCCAAAATGTCTATACCTTAAAGTACGGTAAAATTACCAGGTAGAAATGGTGATTTCTTCTTCAGAATCTTTTTTTCCTTCTTTTCCAACTTCTCTGTGCTTTCCTGCTCTTTTCCTTGCTCTGTGTCCACAGGGTCCGTCGGCTCACATGAAACGTCGGGGGCGGCAGGATTCTGCCCCTGTGCCGCCGAGGTCTTGGCGTGGCTGGGCTCACTAGGAGGCGCTGCAACTGGAATTGAAGACAGCCCACTGTTTTCTAAGGCTTGCTGAGACAGAACAAAACTAGGAGGTTAGGAGACATGACGGCCCAGACCTACCTGCCAAAATCAACCACCAAGACGCCAGAAAGCTCGGCCTGTGGAATCCTAACCCTGCCCCGCTGCAGGGAGAGCCTCCACTCCCACAGGTGAAGCTCCGAACCCCAGGGCTGAAGCGTCCCTTTTCATATCTGACATCTCACCTCCACCCAAAATTCAGCATGCCAAGCATTTACATTTCTAAATTAAAGGGAATTAAAATGAATTAATTCAACTGTTAGAAATTTTACCTCAGACAACTTCAGTTGTCTGTAGCTGATTTGGGGATCACTTTTAAATTACACTGGGCTCGCCCTCATGACCTTCAGGACATCCTGAGAGCTTTCACAGCCCGGCCTCTATGTTTGGGAATGAAGACTGTGACTAACAGCGAGACTCAGAAGAGCACTCTGCTCCCTCCCCCTCCCCCACCCTCTTCCTGGGTCCCCTGGTGGGGGGGGGGGAGGGACTGTCTGGAAGGAGCTACACGGGAGCCAGAGCCGGAAGAAAGACACATTTCGTACCCGTCTGTCAACAGGGACAGATACAAGAAAGTTCTGAAAAGCCTACTCTTTTCAAGTAAAATTCACTTACAGAGAAAAAACTAGGGTTTTATACTTTTTATAACTCAGAGATTAATAAATCATTTCAAGTCCTGCACTGTCCATAAGTAATTAAATAGGTATATTTTGTTTCAATGTAATTTTTCAACTAGGACACATTTTTAATGAAGATCCCTTTACTCCGACAAGCCCTGACCATCGTCAGCACTGAAACCTGGACAAGAGCAGGCAGGTGCGTCTCACCTGTAAGATGTCCTGGCTGATCCCCACGGTGATGCTGAGCTGCTGGCCAGCCTGAGGGGGCTGGCTGGCCTCCCCCGGCCCCGGCTCTGACAGCTCCAGCAGCTGCTGGATGACGTCCGTCACTGCCTGCGAGCCCTGCTGGCTCGACGCGGACGTGACTTGGACATCCGTCTGCTGAAGAGGTAAAGCCTGAAACAGCGTGGCCTGAAACACAGCAACAGTTTCATTAAGGTAAACAATTACAGTAATTTGTATATCCATTTAAAGAAAACAAGGAAAGAAACTAGCATATCTTCCTTGTGAACATTAAAATATCACAATATTCCAAACACAAATTTTAAATAAAATGTCTCACGGATTTTCAAGTTAAGACACAGAACTGGCTCTTAGAGGAACATATTCAATGAATTCTTCTACTACAGTTTCCTAAAGTCTTAAGAGGCAACAGAAACTATGACTTCCAGGTGAGGGACTGAGCACACAAGCCTCACCTCCCTTTAGCCCATCAAAATGAAGGAATAAAACAGTCACAAACCGCAGAAAATAAAAAAGGAATCACTCTGGTCTAAAATACTCCGAAAATTCCTGAAAAATAGTGGCACTGGAGGAATAAACGCCCTGAAAAGCTACAGCCAGGATACCTGAGGAGAGAGCCGATCCGACTCCTCAGAGACCCAGGAATCTGAACGGCTACACCCAGAGACGGCAGGCAGAGCCCGCCCCGCGCGGCGCCGGGCTGGGGGACAGCCGACATCACACCAGCCCAGCCTGCCCAGCCCCTCTATCACGACACGCCAGTGTTCGCCCATCGCTGGTGACCACTGCGCCGTCCCCTGCCTGCAGTCAGGACGAGGGCAACCACGGGTGTCGGTGCAGGGGAGTCTTCACAGTTCTCTGTGCTTTCTGCTCAGCTTCACCATATGCCTACAACTGCTCTAAAAAGTAAACATCGCATTGTAAACTGACTACACTTCAACTAAAATAAAGTAAAAAGAAGGTCTATTAATTAAAGGAATAAAAGATGCTGGAAAATTACTTTGGCCTGTCTTCCTCCACAGAACGGAAGGCAGTGAGGCACCACCTTCCGGCAGAGAAACGGGGGATTGCCACCTTCCGTACCCTCAGTCCCCTGATTAAACAAAAAAGGCTTCTGCCTTCTGCCACCGGGGACCCCGAGTTTAAGAGCTGGCTCCCTGGCCAGTCACATGTAAAGTAACCCTGGCGATCAACCAGCTCTGCTCACGCACGAGAAGCTCAGGGGCGGGTTTACGGCCGCCCTGTCCTAAACACAGGCAACTGATCATCACAAGGTGTCTGAAGAGGGAGGGGCAAGGAGACGACCAAGACAGGTACTCAAGCAGCAGAAGAGAACTTTCAAAAGAAATGCTATTTAGATCTCAAAGGAAAGTGCATCAAACCAGAAAAGAGGATCTTGAAAGAGAAACAGTAAGATCACGGAGGAGAGATCTCAAGAATTAAAAACCTTACTAGCTTAAAAAAATTCAGTGAAGAGTCGTAAGATAAAGCTGAAAAAACTCTCAAAAGTAAAGCAAAAAGGCCAAGAGTCAAAATGGGAGAGGCAACCTAAGAGGCAGTGTTTAGGTGGCTGAGCAGATTCCTAGGTAGTCCTGGGGGCAGTCTGTGCGTCCTGAGGCAGAACACACACGAACCAGGGGAAAGGCGGGGTAGGTTACTAGTTTCCAAGCCCCTATTCAACATCTGCCGGTTTTACTGAGAACATAAAATTTTTAAATGATCTGAATTATCATCCCAGGTAATTCTCTACAGCTACGTGTTTGATTTGCATATTGCCAAAGGAAATGGTGAAAACTCTAGTATCCGCTTGATTTATACACTGAAAATTTTATTTAAAAAATACTCAATCCTAAGTAGAATTTAAGACTTAATTATCATACTCTAATTATTCCCCAGCATTAGAACTTCTTCACAGAATTCTCCCTGATCGAGAGTAAGCTGAGGAACCATCCCAAGCTGCAAGTATTGTGAGAAAAGAAAGGGAAAAACAAACACTAAATGAACCTCATGCCTGGGAACTAAAAGCAAACGAGGCCTATTTTCTATTCTGGTCAGAGGCAGCTGCTGACTTAACACAAACTACCAACCAACTGCACTCCTGAGCTGCACCGGCGCTGGGCACGTCAAGCAAGCCGAGGGCCACCAGGATGCCACACTCAGCACCGGCTGGCAGGTGAGAGCTGCCTTCTCAGCCACGAGGGCAGCGGAGGAAGCAGGGGGAGGCTGAGCCACAGAAAAAGAATAAAGTGCGTGTGTTTCAAGTCACACAGTTTTAAATACATGTGCTGGAAAATACAATTTCGTTTCCCAAAAGCCCAAAGTCTCAGTAAAAAATATCACTGTCACATTAGAGACGGAGAACTATTACCTTAAAAAGAGAAATGACTGTTAAATTAAAACATAAGGAAAAAGGACATTCGATAATAATCATCAACAATACTGTAAGAATCACAATTTCATAAAGTAATGATTCTGTCTTATTTTTAACTGGTTGAGATGACAGTCCAGAAATCAGAATCATGTACTATTCTTCTAAATTATTTTTAAAAATTGATTTTCTTTCACTAATTAAACAAAGTAGCACCATACGTCCATACGGGAAACTTTACAGCACCTTTATGGTACTAAATCATAACCTACATAACAGTCAGTGTTAAAGGTCGGTCACAACTAAGACGGCCGACTTCAGGGAGAGAACACACTCCACTTACCGTGAGCACGTGGGCCGCCTCAGCGGCGCCGGCGGCGCTCTGCGGCCCGCCCATGTGCATCTTGCTGATGTGCGTGTTCAGGCTGCCCAAGCTTTTAAACACACAACTACATTCCGTACAGTTATAAGTAGGGCCATTCTTGACCTTAAAGAATTAAAAAAAAGTGATTTTTTTTACAATTAATTGTTAGATTAAAATATTTAACTTGTGACAAATCGTAATTTATCATTCAATTAAAAATGACAGAAATAATCTAACCCTTTATCACATTTTCTCTTTTAAGTTAAACAGCTCTAGAATCAATGACCCAATCTTTAGTCAACACTGCCAGTATGAAATTAATTGAAGTTTCAGTCTTTTCCAAAAATTCGAACTGGGTCAGGAGTGAAAAAAATCAGTTTTCAGTTATTGTGACCTGGTTGAAAAAAAAAAATGTCTGACGTGTTCTCAATTTCTTAACCGGTTAAAAGTACAATGCTCAATAACCCAGGTGGGACAGTCAGATATAAATACGACTCTGACCAATCCGTAAACACACACGTTAGGAAGGATGGTGACACAATACATAAATTTCCCATCACCAGCTCCGACAGTCCACATCAGTGACTGCTTTTTAAAACCACGATAGAACTGAAAGTGGACTACAGGGAGCAGTAGGACGAACAGGACATCCAGGCACAGAGAGAGCATCTAGAACATACTCCCTGCCGCTCAAGAGCAGCGTGTGTGCGTTAGTTACGACGGCTGGTTGACAAGTGATCGGCCCTGTGAACCTGGATGAGGCCTCCACTCTGTCCAGCACCTTGTTCAGAACCAAATTTACTGCTTTAGCTTCATCATGGATTAGGTAAGATACACAATGAATCTGCAGAGGTAGTTTCTGGAACAGTGATCTGTCCCATCACAGGTCCCATGGGGTCTCCAGGCCGGGGGACAGGAGGGTGCCCAGCCCCCCAGAAGAGTTTCCCGAACACGGGCGCACCTGCGGGCACATCCCAGGGCTGTTCTGAGTCCACCTAGATTCCTGGTGCTGCACAGACACACTACCGCTGCTCAGCCGCCGTCTTCATGCAGGGCAGCTCCTCAAGGGTAAGCCACGCGGCCAAATTTACTCCCCTGAGAGCCAGCGGCAACCTGACGTTTACAGCTCGTCCCCGTGTCTCTGGTCTTGGATGATAAAACTTAGTTTTCAAAAGTAACTCACTGCATATGAAATTCTGAATCTGATTACAAACTCTATGACGTATGCAGGGATTTCTTCATCTTAGTGTTACTGAAGGACTCACTCCCAAGAGAAAATAAAACGATACACATTTGCTTTTAGGAACATACTTTTCATTCTCCAAGACAGTTATATAGAATGAATAATCCATGATAAAATATTTGTCTTGCTTAAAGATTTCTTCATAATCTACAGTTAGACTAAATAGGATCAAATCATGACAATTAATAAGAGCAAAGGTTAACCGGCTCAAGAGAAGTATTTCCAGAGGTTTACAAATCAGTATTATCTGGAGACAAGACAGTGGGAACATCAGTTTCACCGAAACAGTTATCATGCAACAGGGAGGGAAATAAGCTGACCAGAACTCTGCTTGACAGAAAATGAGAACGGAGCTGTACTAAGGGTGGCAATACTAGCAGTAGGAAAAATACTTTCTTCCCAAATTTTACTTGTCTTTCAAGTCCTTACACTTGACGATGTCTGTGCTTCAGGTTTGCTAACGGGATGAAATACGTTAACATTCAGACTGAGGGACTGTAACCGACAAAGGTATTATTCTCGGGTATATGCCCAGGGCTGGAGTTGCTGGGCCATGTGGTGGTTCTGGTTTTGGGTTTTTGAGAAACCTCCGTATTTGTTCTTTTCCACAGTGGCTGCACCAATCTGCGTTCCCACCAACAGTGTACCAGGGTTCCCTTTCCTCCACATCCTTGCCAGTATTTGTTATTTGTGTTCTTTTTGATGATGGCCATTCCGACAGGTGTGAGACGGTGTCTCACTGGGACTTTGATTTGCATTCCCCTGATATTAGTGATGCTGAGCAGCTTTTCATGCTCCTGTTGGCCATCGCATTTCCTCTTCTCAAAGAATGTTCGGTTCTTCTGCCCGCATCTTAAAGGTGGTGTTTGTTTGCTTTTTAATTGAAGTACAGTTGATTTAAAATGTTGTGTTAGCTTCTGGTGCACAGCATGGATGGACCTGGAGGGCATTATGCTGAGTGAAGTCAGTCAGGCGGAGCAAGACAAATACTGTAAGAGATCACTGACATGTGGAATCTAAAAAGTACCACAGACAAGCGAATATAACAGAAAAGAAACAGATGCACAGATGTAGAGAAGGAACTAGTAGTCACCAGCGAGGAGGGGGAGAGGGAGGAGCAAAATGGAGGTGGAGGATTAAGAGGTACAAACTATCAGGTATAAGATAAGCTACAAGGATGTGCAACATGGGGAAGAGAGGCAATAGCTCACAATAACTATAAATGGAGTCTAACCTTCAAAAGCTTGTGAATCATTACATCATACAGCTGTAACATATAATCCTGTACACCAACTATACTTCAATTTAAAAACTATGGCATTGTAAAATAAATAAATGTTTTAAAATTATGATTATTTTCAAATAGTTTTTCATCAAAGCTATAATATTATCAGTCAAAAGATGAAAAACAGTTATTTTAAAGTTCTCCCACGTATAAGCCAAAAAGGTTCACATGTACATAGATATAGGTGCGTGTACGTGTGTGTATACATACATACGTACGTATATATATTATTTTTATATTTTTACACAGGGTCTGTTCTGCACGGACACTTCATCTGCATTTTAAAGCAGAACTTCTCTGGCCCGCTCACTAAGGCAGGAGCCAGCGTGCGGCCCAGATGCGCTGTGCACCTCTGAGTGCGCCCCAGGGCGCCGTACCTCTGAGTGAACTCTCTGCACGTGCGACTGGAGGTTCCCCTTCTGAGAAAAGGCAGCGGGGCAGAAGGCGCAGGCATGGGGCTTCTCACCAGTGTGCTTAATCATGTGGGTCTGCAGCGCCCCCTTCTGGTTAAAAGCTTTTCCACACTCACTGCATTTAAACGGCCTTTCACCTAGAGGAAGAAAAACGGTCCAAATGAAACCCCGTGTTGTGTGGGCATCTGATGGATTAAGAGAGAAATACGTATATACGTTACCCAGACTCAAGACCCCACCCGGCAGCACACCTCCCGGACTGCACTCCAGGGCCTACTCAAAACCTCAGGACTAGCACCACGGGCACAGCAGCAAACACAGAAAGGTCGGATTAAACCCCAGGTCAGCAGGCGGTAAGGCCCATCCCTCCCCCAGGCCCCGTCCTAAATCCTCGTACCTGTGTGTATCCTGATGTGCCGAGTGAGCTGACTTGGCTTCTGGAACGTCTTCCCGCAGTGGGGGCAGGAGTACGTGAACCCGCTCCTGTCGATGTTTCGATTGTAGGGCCTCGTGCCGGACACCCTGGTAGACGCAGAGTGGGGCACTCAGAAAGCCTCCCCCTCCCATACAGGAGCCCTTCCCAGCTAAGTCCTACCCCGACGTCCAGCCAACTGGTCGTGAGCGCTTTAATGAGAAATCAGCCACACACAAGTGCAAGTGTTCAGCACACACACACACGTGTCTCCAGTATCATAAACCCATTCTTGGCGGGGGAAGGTCGGAACGTCTCTCGAGACAGCGCTTTACCTGTGATGGTCAAATGTAAAGACCGGGCAGGTACAGTTTCCACACAGACTCAAGCCTATGCTCCCTCCTCCAGTCTCCCAGGTGCTGAGGATTCCAAGTCCCGCCTCCAACAAGTCTGAGCCCTCCGGCGAGCACCAGCCCTAGACACCCAACTCCTGAAAGGCCGATGGCGCTCAAATCTACCAAGTGGCAAACGTAACTCTCGCCTGACTCTCAGCCTGCTCCTCTTACGACAGGAAACTCCCAGTTGGGCAACCTCAACCTTAGATGTCACCCTGGGTTCTTCCCTCTCCCTCACTCCTGACATCAAGCCCACCTCCAAAAGCTGCCGGTCTCACCCCAGACAGCCCCCAGGATGCTCCTGTCTCTAAACTCCGCAGCCACCACGGCTTACAGCAGCATCCTCCCGCTGCCCTGATCACCGGGCCACCACCCAGCAGCCACGCCATACCACGAAGGCTGGGCAGGCCCTGCCTGTGTAAAACCCTCCAGCTCCCCCACCGCAGCTGGGATAAAATCCTCATTCCCGGGATGGCCTTGGGTACCCTCAGCCCCTGGGCCTGCCTCCCTCACACTCAGCCCCAGCAGGCTCCCGTCTGTCGCAGGCTCCTCTCTGGTCAGCGCAGAATGCCCATGGCTACTGAGATGGCTGCGACTGCCCTCCCTCACCTGGAAGCCCCCCCCCCCAAAGGCCTGCAGGCCCCTCCTCCCCTAGGCCCACTGGCAGTGCTCCTGCTGGGAAAAGCTACACAAAACAGGCCTCTCACCACACAGCCCCACCCCGGAGTATTGCCCCAGGGAGTCGAGTCCCACATCCCTCCCTACCCACCACTCTCTGAGGCTGCGCACTGACCCTCCCTCCACTCCATCACTGTGTCTGCCAGGCTAAAATGACAGCTCCCTGAGTCAGATGGCCTGCTGGCTCCCAAAGACTCAGAGCCAGTGTGGTCTAGTGCATGGTGGCCCCTAAAATATCCCCAATCATCTCTCCAAAACCTTCAGGGACACAAAGTGCCTGTGATAAAACTTCATCAAAATAAAAACCTGGTGTGACAGACAGAGCACACGAATTGCATTGGAGGGGTCTAAAAATTACTGACGTCACGAAGTACTTGGCGGGAACCACAGTGGTTACCAACAAGTGAAGTGAAGCAGATGGGAGAGAGGAGAGAATGCGGACCACTGGGGGTCATCACATTTCTAAAACACAATGCCTAAAATGGTAAATAAATACCACAAAGTGTTCCAGCATTTTATAAACTTTGTTACCTGGTGATGGTGGTTGTTAAAAAGTATAGATATTTCCTAAATACTGAAATTTGGAATGGTGGCAAGTTAAACTGATATTACAGTGAAAAAGTTAATTAATGCTGGCTTTTACAGTTTGCTGTAGAGATTAGTTCAATGAGTGTGACTACTGATTGTCACCATCTGCTAACTTGAGCACAAAGGGCCAGGAGAACTTTGTATTTCATTTTATGAAGAAAAGGAAATATCAGAAAAACTATACAATCAGGACTAGGTCAACTACAAAATTCTGAGAGACATGTTAAGGTTTACTAGGAATAAATCCGTATGTTTTAAATACAGGCAGGGTTGCTAATATCACGAGCTCTAAAATGAGACTCCTGGGGTTTAAATCCCTAACACTTGACCTAAGAGCTGTAAAACCTTGTGAAAGTCACTTGACTTCTGGAATCTAGGTTTTCTCATCTGCAAAATGGGGACAGAAAAGTATCCAGGCCTGAAGGGCTGTTTGTAATGATTAAATGAAGTTGTGTTTACATATTTATATACACACTAAGCACAGTGTCAGGCACATGTAAGTTCTAAACAGACAGTATAAATAAACCAGGTCAGTAAAAAGGGTGCTAATCTGGCCCTGCACACCTCATTACCTGCCCATAAAAATGTACTGCCAATTCCTAGCTCTACAGCTTTCAACATTATCAAAGAGCTAAACATTCTTACCCATGCAGCCTGACACCTATTTTTAATTTTCAATCTTACCTTTCCTACTGTAGACATGACACGTGATAACCAGATTGTAACAGACACCCTGACACCACACCTGACCAGTTGCTGTATGCTCGTTTCTAAGGTAGCCAAGATTTTTAACCAATCACAGCAAAGTATGCCGATTTTTACTATACCACATAATTGTGTAGCCAAGCACAGGCTCGTACCTGATCTTATAGTGGGTCTTCATGTGCTCCTTCAGCTGTGAGGACGTCTCGAAGTCCTTCCCGCAGGCCTTGCAGGTGCGCGCGCGGCGCCCAGCCAGCTCCTGGCGGTGCTCCTCCATGTGCACGGCCAGCTGGCTCTGCAGCGCGAACTCGTCTCCACACTCGGCGCAGATGAGGTTCTGCGGACGGAGAGCACCTGTGAGCGGAGCAAGCACTCCAGAGCACGGCTTCCCAAAAACACTCGTGCTGTCAACAGCTGAGCATGAATTACACTTTCCTTTGGAACAAACACTCACATATTTTTGCCTCTCAAAAAATATATCATTCTATCCTAATAGGAATAAATAAAAATCATTTCTTTCCTGATAGAAACACAGGGAAAAGGATGAGAGAACAATACAATTTTTAAGCAAAATGAACCGTTTCAAACTGGCTGTTGGGTCAATGGCATTTTGTCCATCTACTCTGTGAAAACGTCAAAGAGAAGCAGAGTGACTTCAACACAAAAGAATCAGGACAGAATTCAAATTAAGATAATAGTTTAATAGACTACCTTAAACCAAAATGACAGCTGGTAGATTTTTAAATGAAAACGCCTATCAGTCAATTACAGAAAAATCTGGGACTCTGCCCAGAAGTGGCTTGCTGAGCACCTGAAATGGGTGCAGACTGAACAGAGCTGTGGAGTAAGTGTAAAACACACACAAGATTTCAAAGACTTAATGAAATTATATTATGAATTAATTATATTATCAATTATAGTATTTTGGATTTATTTTCATAAATAAAATATATTAAAACAAATTTTATTTCACGTTTTCTTTTAACTTTTTAAAATACAGCCACTATAAATTTTAAACCACTCCTATTTTAATTAGGATAACACTGGCCCAGACGTGCTGGGGTGGGGTCCTGGTTCACACAAAGGCTGCCAGTCACCATCTGTGTGCATTCAGGTGAGCTGACCACTCCAAGCCCGTGAAATGGTGATACCAGCAGTACCTGCCGCACAGGGCTGTCATAAAGTTAAATAAAAGGATGCATGTAAGAGGCGGACGACTGCACAGCACACAGGACGTACTCAGAATGGCTTGGGTCAGTAGGGATTGTCGACTTAGTACAAAGTTCAGTTAGTTTACTCAAAGTCCCATAATACAATTATTTACTTAAATGATCCTCAAAATGAACTATCCAGACATGGAAAAGAATAAGTGTAACCTGTCAGTGAGCATCACTGTTATTTCCAAACAACAAAACACGTAGCTATTTCT